TGAGCTGGTGGTATCCTTGAGAAATATTGGCAAGTGGGTGAGATGCCTGGAAGATGGCACAAGGAACCCCACCCCACAGGAAGAGTGCAACTCTGTTTCATGGAGGTTGCCTCTAGGCCAGGGGTCTCCAACTTTGGCAACTTTAAGACTTGTGGACTTCAACTTCCGAAGCTGTCTGAGGAACTCTGGGAGTTGAAATCCACAAGTCTTAAAGTTGCCAAGGTTGGAGACCCCTACTCTATGTTTTCCCTTCCCTTCTTTTGTCTACCACTGTGAGTGAGGAGCCAACATGAGCCTCTTCCTAATGTTGTCTTTTTTCCTGGAGTTTAAGGAATGCTTCTGCCCTTTTTGGTTTTTAACAGCTTTTGAATATTTCCCTGAAAGCCATCTTTATGTCTCCTGTGCTATATTAAAAGGAAAAGGGTGGGTGTTCAACAAATTGCTCAGCAGACAGTTTGGTTTGGATGGCTGGGGCAGTTGTAGAGCAGCTGTAAGAAGCTTAACTTAATAGATTTTGCCAGAAAAATCTCAGACATAATATAGAATTAGAAAAGTGGGACAAATTATGGGAAAGAAATTATAAATTTACAATGGCGGTACCTTATAAAGAAAATTTGTACAAAATGTTCTATAGATGGCATTTGGCACCAGCAAGATTGACCAAAATGTTTTCAAATTTATCAACCAAATGTTGGAGATGTGGCCATAAATTAGGAACATATTACCACATGTGGTGGATGTGCCGTAAAATAAAAAAATTGGTATAAGAATAAGAGCTGGTTGGAGGAAATCACATTACAAAAGATAGAATTCAAACCAGAGCTCTTCTTATTAGGAATAATAGATCCAAAATTAGAGAAATCTTCACAATACCTTCACATACTAACAGCAGCAAGGATTACCATTGCACAAGGGTGGAAACATAATAATATACCATCAAAGGAAATAGTGATTAGGAAAATTTTACAATGTGCAGAAATGATAAAATGACAATGGAAATTAAGGAAAGAGAAGATTCAGACTATTATAGAATGTGGAACAAATTCTATAAATGGATAGAAAAAAGAAATCTAAATAAGAATTGGGAAATTTAAGTTAATATCGCTGAAATAAAGAACTATATTACTAATTATTGTTAACCTTATAGTACTGATTGTGTAAATAAATATAATGTAAATGTATGTATTCAGGAGAAGAATTGAACAAAAAATAGACAATATACATGTCGATACAGAAGACTGTAAAAATAGCATATAATATATTGTTATGTTTGTCATGTTTTTTACTCTGTTTTTGTCCTTGTTGGTTTTTTTTTTCTGTTTTTAAAAGTAAAAAGCTTAATAAAAACTATTTTAAAAAAAAGATTTTGCCAGACTATTATCAGACCATCAGGTGATAGAATAAGTAACTGTGTTGATCATTTGTACACAACACACTTGGTTGCAGCAAAACATATGAAGTGGAGCCAGGAAGGCAGATGCCTCCCAGGCCTCCATCACACCCCATTTCTTGCCACAAACCTTCAATATATGGAGAGAGGAGCCACTCTTGCCTCTGGTCTGCTAGTTCTGAGCTAGTTTATTCTGCGTTCTGTAAGACTGCAACATGAGTACTTTACTCATTTTGCACAGCCTCTTTAAAGCAATTGTTGATATCAGTATGAACAGTTACAGCCAATAATTAAAGTTCAATCCATTCTTTTTTTAAAAAAATAACAAAATAGGAATGAAGTAGTTAATCAGCTTGGATCACATTGAGAGGGGCAGGCAAGAGTGCTGGGAAGTTTCAGGAGATGGCTGGAGAAGGAAAAGATGGGCTTGTAGGCAGGAGTGAAATCCAGCAGGTTCTGACAGGTTCTGGAGAACTGGTAGTGGAAATTTTGAGTAGTTCGGAGAACTGGCAATGCCACCTCTGGTTGGCCCCAGAGGGGGTGGGAATGGAAATTTGGCAGTATCCTTCCTCCAGGAGTGGGGAGGGAATGGGGATTTTGCAGTATCCTTCCCATGGAGTGGGGTGGGAATGGAGATTTTGCAGTATCCTTCCCCTACCACGTCCATCAAGCCAAACCCACCAAGCCAACCACGCCCACCAAGCCATGCCCACAGAACGGGTGGTAAAAAATGTTGAATTTCACCACTACTCATGGGTCTGTTTTTCCCCTTTCTCCATATGGGCTCTTGAAAGTCCCAGGATGGCAAGTCTAGTGCCTGTTGGAGAACAGTAACAGAGCCACCTCTCACAACCTCCAATGCAGATGGGGTATGTTTGCAACTACAATCAAAGGATTTTTGCAAATATCTGCAATGAAAACTAAACAGATTCTGTAGTAAACACTTCAGTTGCATTTTAAAAATGTCCCCTTCCAAGCCAGCGCAAACATTGTCTGCTCTATGATGGGGCTGATCTTCCTCAGAGGTGACAGACCATCCTCCAGATTATGGGAGCAGAGATGGAGTTGGACATACTATGAAACCCCAACAGGGTTTTCTTTAATTTATAATTAAACCAGGTGATCTTTCATCCTTGAGAAATGTGAAGTATTGACTATTCAGAATGAAGACTAAGATGCGGATCTGTCTTCCAGACCACCAGGGTGAGGTGGGATCCATCTCAGTTAAGATGTGGATGGGTTGCTATGGAAATCGACTAATGAAATCCTTGGCATCGATGAGCTTTGACAATGCAGTTCAAAAAAACCCAAAAACCCAAATCCCAATTCAGAGTAATGTGTGCCGGGTGTGTGTGTGTGTGTGTGTGTGAAAGAAACAAGTTCCAAGTTGTGCCATCTTCTTCTCAGTAGGGGATGGGGGTGCACTTAGTGGTTGAGAAGTCTGTCAAGGGCCTTGCAGGGATCTGCTCCAATTGGGAAACATGAAAGCAACAGGAAGGTCTAGGTGGGGTTTCCAAGATAGGATACAGAAAGAGCACAGCTACCCACCCAGGGAGCAGGATCCTTCCCAAAGGCTCTGCTCTATTTTCAGGCTCAAACTCCTCCAGGTTCAGGCTTTCCAACTCCACAGTATCCCATTTCTCTGATGAGCAGGCTTTCCAGAGGGAAAGACGCCTGCATTTGGAACAGGCTAAGGTTCCATGTTAACCTGGTATCACTGAGGTGATGACTGCATCCTCGTGATCTGCTGCTGTTTCGGTTCAGCTGTGGCTCAGGGTCCTTATGAAACCCCAAGAGGAGGACAGCCATCGGCTCCTCTTCTGTTTGGATGGGTCTCTCACCTGTGATTCTGAAAATTGACCATCGGTCATTGTCATCTTGGGGCATCATCTCCACTGGTTTTTGCCTCCCCCACAACACATGTGAAGATCTATGGCCAGTCTCACATAATCTAGCATTTGGGGAAGGCCTTCAGCTCTCTGGTGCTGACCCCAACAACAGCTTGACTGAGGGTAGGAGACATCATGAAGCTTTCAGGGTATCTCAGCCCATCCGGATCAAAGCATGAAGGACAAAGGTCACAGCAAATGGAACCCTCCCCCCCCCCCCGAGAAGTTCAAGTCCATGCAATATCTTCCTCACAAAGTAGAAGTGATTACTCCCATGATAATACAAGCTCTTGACCCAAATCTCCAGTGCTTAAGTATGAATGTTCTGAGAAGATATTTTTAAGAAACCTGTTAATTAATTTCTGAATCCTGCTTAATTAAGGCGGGAAGGGGGAGAAGCTGATAGTGAAATAAATCCAGAGTTCCCATTTCTTAGTTGGCACCTTTTGTCTCAAAAGAGGTCAGGGATGAAAAGGAGGCAGTTGCAGCTGTGCTGAGTGTGCTTTTCCTGTTACACAGCTTTCCCATTGCCACTTTGACTCTGCTTTGCTACTGTTGAGATGCCACCCGGAAAACCCTGCTCTGCGGATGGGGAGCTGGACAAAGCGTCTCCTGTGGGAGCTTTGCACAGGAAACCCTGAGACCTGGGTACTTCATAGGGTCCTCTCCACTATCCATGAGTGGAGGCTTGCAGTGTTCCAGAATGTCTGAATGGAAAAGAAAAACGCCACAACTAGCTTAGAGCCCCAGAATCTGACTAGAGAGAGTTCCGAACCCAGAAACACAGGGAGACGAGACCCCTGTCCTCACTGCCCTCACCATCCTCTCTGTTTCTTATCAGCCGGGGGGGGGGGGGGAGAGAAAGGAGAGGTCAAAGAGCTTGGATCAAGTGAACTCCAAGGAAACTCCTCAGCCGCAACAATACACTCTGGGCTGACTGTTCCACAAATACCGGCCTGCCTGCTAATGGCTTCTGGACCAACTCACCTGCCTGCTATTGGGGTCAAAGGAAGCCAAAGCAGACCTCTTAGACCAGGGAGTTCCTCGGAGATTGCTATCCCACTGAAGAAAGCAAGAAGCAACTCTCCCAGCTAAAAAAGGGATGCCTGGACACCAGCAGGATAAGACCCCCTGGTCAGGCCATTTTACTGAGGAAACAATCAGTAAAATTGTTTTACTGAGTCTCCCCACTGAGGGTCCCCACTCCCATCCACACACGCCAGCCCCCCCCCCAAGCTGCCAGCCCAACCCTTGCTGTCTTCTGACTGCAAAGATTCCACAAAATGCAATCAGTGCCCTACCTCCAAGCACCAGCATCTTCCCTTCCCAAACCCCCCTCCCCCCTTATTTTTTTTCCCCCTCGAACTGCCTGACACCATTGTCAGAAGCGGCAGCGCCTCTTCCAGTCCGGACCCTTCAGCTTGATCTGGCCAAGGCGCCTCCTGCCCCAGGCCCTCTAGCAGTGCAGGACTGAAGAACCCCGCCTGACAACGGGCCTGCTTGAACCAATGAGCCACCTTCTTTTGCCAGTGAGGCTCCGGTGATGTTCATCCCGATGGGGCCACTTGCTGGGCTCTCACTGCGGGTACCGTTCTGCCTCCGTCTAACCAACTGCTTCTCTGATCCGGGTCAGAGGAGGCACTTTCTCTGCTGGCGCTCATAAGATCGCCAAGCCCTCCTCCTGGAAAGGGAGGGGGAGGAGAGGCGTGGGGAGGAGAAATCTGTCCGCCGCCCTAACCCTCGCTTGTCTCGGAGGAAGACAGCCGCGGCCGCTGCCGTGGCCGAGTTCCCGAGAGCGCGCGAATCACTCGAAGCAGCCGGGGAACGCAGGTTGAAATGCGCTCCTCTCCTTAGCCAGTCGCCAGACTGCCCCGCCCCCTCTTCCCTCTCCAGCCACCCGCGAGGGCAGAGCAGCGCCAGAGGCTTGCCGGTAGCAAGACCGAACAGCGGCGGCGAGCAGCTGCCCATAGAGTCGCTCCGACAGGATTCCGGCTTCGGCAGCTCCGACGGCGGACCTGAGCCCTCGGCCCCTGGCTTCCTCTGCCCAAAGGGGCACCTCGGATCGCAAGGAAGGCAGGTGCTGTTGATCGTCGCCGCTTTTGACTTTGGGTCAAAAGAGAAGCTCTGGGCGGCATCGGAGGGGAGGGCAAACGTTGTCGGTGCGTGGGCCCCTTTTCAAAGCCTGGTCGATAGACGCGGCAACCGGCGGCCGCGGCGGGCGGCGGCTTGCTATACCCGTTGCACGACCTCGAAGATCGGTGCCTGCAGCCCACATCTTTCTCACACACACCGGCCCCCGCCCAAGTTGCGCAGCGCCAGCAGCAAGCGGCGAGGGAAGCGGCGAGGGAGGGGGAGGCGAAGGCCCCTTGGCCCTCGTTTTCCGGGCCACGGGCAGCCGGGGCAGTCGCGCGCCCGAGTTCCAGAGAAGGACAAAGGGCCGCGCGCCAGTGGGCGCGTTTCCCTCTGGCTGAGGCGCTGCTAGCCACAGCCATAACCCTGACTGCCGCAGCCGAGGGTCTTGAGGCGGGCTGCCCAAGGAGGCGGTCGGAAGAGCCGAGACAGCAACGGCTAACGGAACTCCCCTCTGCTGGGCTGCTTTGCCGGGAGCGGGGGCAGCCAGAGAGGGAACTGCGCGGACAGGCTCCGTGCCTCCGCAGCCCCCTTGCCTCTCTGGGTCTCTCGCACTCCAAGCCGGCAGTTCTACTCGTCTGATTAATGGGCTGCAGCAAAGGACTGGGGCGGGGGAGACGGGGCGGCCAAGCCCTCGGCCTTCGTGCTCGCGGAGAGTTAACCAGCTGCGCGATGCTCCAGGATCGGAATCAAGCGCTTGTACTGTGACGCTAACCTGCACCTCCCCCCCCACCCCGGTCCCGTCTCGCCATCTAAACGGACGCGGCTGGCGCCGGACTTCGGCTGCGGTGGGCATTCTTTGTGCCGGAGAGAGAGCGGCGTCCGAAAGAGAACCCGGGAGCGCGCGGCAACAGCGGGATGGTCTAGCCTCCCATGCCCCCTGGGGACTTGTAGCGGGCAGGCCAAAGGGGCTTATTGCTGGGTTCCCGGGCTGCAGGCTCCGCGAACCTGGAAGCTGGCGGTGTGCTCTTACTGTGTTTGCGGCGGTCTTATCTCTGCTCGAGAGCTCCGACTGGTCTACAGATGTCCTCCCAATGAAGGCTGAAAGGGAAACGTCCGCGGTGCCCGCTTTCCGGAGTCCCTGCTGCACAATCCCAGAGGCGACTTGGGGAGGCAGGGCTCCCGAGAATCGGGCCCGGCCTGGAGCAGAAGGTTATGGTGTATCCCCATGGTTTAGCTGGGCATTGAGCGCCAAAGCAATACGGATTGGCCCCTTCGTTTTGTGTCCAGGGAGCTTTTGCCAGCACCACAGGGCAACAGGAGAGGAGCTTAATCCCCAATTTCTCTTCCTACCACTGGTGGCTACCCTTTGCAAGGAAGCTTTCCCAGAGCCACTAGGTGCAGCCTGCCAGCCACCTACAAACAAGGCTGCCAACAGCACAACATGCGCTGCCTGAAGTGGCATTCATGACCACCATTGGCTTCCTTTCAGTGGTTTAAAAGCCACCTGCTGAGTTGCCTGGCAGGCTGAGGCGCAGGGGTGCTCGATACCTGCAAGCTTTCAGTGGGTCTAGGGGTCCTTTGGAACAGCCATAGTCCCACCTCCAAAAAAGAGCCAGGGAGCCTCAACAAACAGCCAAGCCCTGTGGGGCTCCCAGCCAGTCACAGCTGGAGAGGCATTGCACTGTGCACTCTCTGTATGCATTTCCTCTGTCTTTGCCGCTTCTCTTTTTTGTAATCTCTGGTTCTTGATACTCCTTTAGCTAAGAACGCCAGTGCTTACCATACCACCAAGTTCATTCCCATTTCCCCCCACGAGTGACTCAGGCTTTGTTCTTACGTTTCTCCTCCATCTCTGTTCCACTGTGTCTAACTAACCCGTGGTGTTGATGGAAGCATTGCTGCTAAGACTTACAACAAGTAGCTCAACATACAGACGGAGCTGACATAATTAGGCACGCAGAGGAAGACATTGTAGTAAATAAGGCAGCCATTTAATACGCCCCCTTTTCTACTAGCACGGCGGCAGCGGCTGCAGAGCTCAGTTTCCAGGCATCAGCAGATGCATGGTTGCATGTCACACAGCTATCCATGAATACCTTTTACACACGCTCATATGGGAAATGTTCAAAAGCAGGGGTGGTTTCCGTCATTTCCTTTAGAAAAACTAACTGGACAGACATCATGCTTAGTAGTGCTGCAAAAACAGTGTCCTCTACTGTCTTTCTACAGAAAGCCTGGCCAGCTCAGGGCTGATCGCTTCCCCACCCCTCGTTCTTCGCCTGATGTTAGGTTGAGCCTTCCAGGGGGAAATGAGGGATTGAAAGATCCACACAGGCTCCGACATCCTCCCTTTCTTGAGATGGGGCAGCTTTTCCAGGGTCTCTCTCTCTTCACTTACTGAGGTGCCCATTTTGCTGCTTCAGTCTTATGTTTGTATTTATCCCAGGACCGTGTGTACATTTCCGTTATTTCAGGCTCATTCATAAGCTGCTTCCCAAACATTTGTCTTGAGCTATTTCTCTCAAAGTTTCTAGGTAATGGAACTGGTTGGCTAATACGTATTTTCCAGAGCTATTTTCCGGTAGTGGCTGTGCTGCCACTTTCTCCATAACCATTCCAGATAAAGCTTTCTTTGTTCAAAGGGGCGAGAAAAACACAGTCTAACCTGTTTAAAATGTATTTCAATCTAACATTTTGCATTGGTAGATCAATGCAATCAAAGTTCTTAATTACCAACCGTTTTCTTGAGATAATATTAATTTTAAAAAAATGTTAATTGTGACCCTTTAATATTTGCTATGTTTTACCCCTCCTTTGACTTACCCCTCCTAATTGCAGGGTTTTAGGTAAGAAAAGGGTAAAAATAACACTGAGGAAAACATGTGGAATCAGGAGGAATGAAGGCTGGGGCTAAAGGAAATATGAAACAGACATTACTTCTAAAAGAACCTTATAAAAGTTCTTTGAAACTATTCACTAACACAAAAAACTAACCCAAAACCAATAATTCTCTCACCAGCCTGAATTTGCTACTGCTCACCACTGTAATCCTCCCTCCCTCCTTCCCTCCCTCCCTCCCTCCCTTCCTCCCTCCCTCCCTTCCTTCCTTCCTTCCTTCCTTCCTTCCTTCCTTCCTTCTCAACTCTGCAAAGCACATTGAACATTGCCAAAGATGGGAGAACAGCATGAGAGATTGGGGCTATTATTTTCCTGGGTTGTCTAGACATAGCAGTCCAAATTCAATATTATTTAGGGACGGATGACCATAATGACCATCATAGGGAATCGACAGTGGCTAGCTGGACCTGGCTTTGTGCATCAGCCCCCATGGATTCCTGCTTTCAGTCTTTTAGACCAAGCCTTCAGAGAGGCTCCAGCTGGCCTTTGCCCATGTGCCTTCTGTTCCCCTCCCCCCCCCATCTCCCATCCTCAGCATCTTTCTGGCATTGGTGACTCTCCCCTTTTCCTCTTTGGCAGGTGTGGAGTATCTGCTGGCTACCACGGCTGCACTGTAAAGGGATGGCCTTCAGGATCCTCTGGACAAGGACCCCCTTCTGCACCACTAGCCTTGGAATTCTGCTCCTAATCTACGCCCTGCCTGCAGAAGGGTAAGGTGGCAGAACTGGGGTCTCTTGTCCCACCAGGGCAGCTGGATCAATCCTTCTGACCCAGCCATGATTTTTGGGAGGGAAGCATCAGCCTCCATTTGGACCCATATTCTGGTCCCACAGGACTGATGTGCTTATTTGGAGGCTGGCTGACAAATTGCTCTGCTCAGGTTTTACCCTTCCTGTACTAGAGAATGGGTGATTCAGCAGTCTGTTGCAGGCTGGATTTACTGCTGGGTCAGCCCCTGGAGTTTCTCAGAGACCACAAAAAATAGGATAGCTCTGCTGGGAGCTTTCTTGGGCCTCCATTCATCATTTGCCATTTGCTGCCCATCAGGCAGAGCTTCAGAGTGGAGCGCCTGGGATGGGGAGGCCACCATCAGCCCAACCTCTTGTCTTTTTCACAGCCAGCCACAAGGGCAGAGGGGCCAGCCAGGAGATTGGGGGGGGGGGGAATGACTCCTTTTGGCTGGACACCTTCAGACAAAGGCTGGAGAGACTTTAATCTGGATTCCTGCCCTGACCAAGAGAGTGATGGATCTATGGGTCCCTGGGTTCTTCCCACTTTGAATGCAGGTGAGGATTGCTTGAGAAGAAAGGGAATCCCAGGGATTATCATTTCCCCTTCCTTCTTGCATTTGTCCATGAAGATAATCTTGGCTGCAACTCACAGGTTTCAGCATTTAAACCTCTCCCTCCCTCCAATGTCACTCTGATGCTTCTTTCTTTCTTTCTTTCTTTCTTTCTTTCTTTCTTTCTTTCTTTCTTTCTTTCTTTCTTTCTTTCTTTCTTCTTTTTTTCTCTCTCACTCACTCATTCATTCATTCATTTATTTCACATGCTCTTTACCCAAAAAGACGCTTACAATGGCATTTGGGGAGGGGCGTTTGCACCTTGTGCATTTTGTGGCTGTGAATATTACTGTCTACTTGCTTTGCCTAACCCACAAGGAGAATTTGGAAATGAGCATCATTTTACTACCACGGATACAATAATTCTCATTTAAGGTCTGTCTCATTTAGTGACCGTTTGTAGTTACAATAGCAATGAAAAATAAATTTGCAACCAGTCCTCCCCCACCTTTACAATCTTTGCAGGTCTGTAAAGCAAAGAAAAACTGAAGTCAGGTGGTAAGCATACTTGTAGTTCCGCTTAGCAACTGCTTCACTTAATAGCTGAGTTGCTAGCTCCAATTATGATTACTAAATGAGGACTGATTGAAGGAATCCTATTTCAGAACAAAACATAGAAATGACTTGCCCCATCTCCACACCCAGAAGGCAACATGAATAATAAGCCTATGCCAGGTGAACAGGGTTTTTGCTCCTCCACAGAACTGTCTGTTCTTCCTCACATGGCGCATATGGCCCATGGTGTAGGGGACAGGGGAGGACTGGGGTGTGTGAAAGTAATGGAAAAGCAGTGGGGAGATGTGGTAAGGTACTTAATCAGAGGAGACCTTGTCTCAAGCTCCATGAGCAATCCATGGCGATTCCATGAACAGCCGCAAGCAGCCATCTTGTTCGCTTGAGTCGTGTATCAGTGGAGTGCCACAGGGATTTTATTCAAAAACACCCTAACAAAAACAACAAGAGCAGAAGCCTTCCTTTAGTCCCAGGAAAGAAGAGAACGTTAGGAAGAAATTTAGGCCGGCTCCTCCTTGAGTTACAGGGTATCAAAAGGATGGATAGAAAATTTATTAACAAAGTCTACCTTAATCAAACTTAGGTCTAAGCTTCTTGGGGAGTTTATTTCTTGTTAAGACAATCTTGAAGGGAGCAACTCACCAGTCATCTCATAAAGATACCATTCATCTAGCACAGGGGTCAGCAACCTGCGGCTCTGGAGCCGCATGTGGCTCTTTCATCCCTCTGCGGCGACTCCCTGTCACTCAAAATATGCATCACAACCGCCAATGTGCAACACCCACTGGCACATGATTTATTGAATTTTTCAACTCCTGGTAGGCCAACCATGGATAAATCCAAGAAAAGAAAAGTGTCAGAAGAAAACAGAATGTTTAATTCAACTACATATGCTAGTTTTGTGGCTGCTCAGGAAATAGTCAGGCACGGAAAGGGTTTTGTGGCTCCCGGTGTTTTATTTTCTGTGGGAAACGGGTCCAAATGGCTCTCTGAGTGTTTAAGGTTGCTGACCCCTGAAATTGCTCTCCTCCAGCAACACCACAAATACAGTTTCTCATCATAGACACAGTAGGGGAGAACCTTAGAGATCATCTGTTCCAACCCTTCAGCGTTCTGCTAAAATAGACCGATGGCTCTCTGCTTTCTCTCTTTGAAGACCTCTCATGAGAGGGAACATATTACCACTGCCTGCAGTAACCTCTTTCGCTGGTATCAGCTCTTAACATCAGGAAATTCTTCTTAACATAAAGCCTACTTCTTAGAAGGTTCCACTCACAGCTTCACGTTTTGCCCTTTAGGGCAACAGACAACATCCATTGTCTTCTGTATACCACAACATTAGATGTCACTTTGCGATGTGAAGTGGAGCAATGGCTCAGCAGTTAAAGACGCAGAGCTTGTCAGCTGGAAAGCTAAGAACCCAAGTTTGAGAAATGAGTGCCTCACAACAGGGTGAGCTCCCGTTCCTGCTCCCAGCCCCTGCCCATCTAGCAGTTTGGAAACATGCAAATGCAAGTAGATCAATAGGTACCACTTCGGTGGGAAAATAACTGCATTCCATGTGCCTCAGCTACAGTCATGCTGGCCACATGACCACAGAAATGTCTTTGGACAACACTGGCTCTCTCAGCTAAGAAACAGAGATGAGCACCAGCCCCTAGAGCCAGAAAAATCTGAAGAGGGAAACCTTTCGCTTTATACCGTAACATTAGATGTCACTTTCTCAAGCTAAATTTTCCGTTAGCCATTCTTCATAGGATTTGATTTCCAGTCCCCCCAGAATCATGGTAGTACCCCCCCCCCCCATTTGCTCCTGTTTGTCCTCTTTTAGACTGCAGTACCTAATACTAAGCAGAGTATGAAAACTGGAGTTTAACCAAAGCAGAGTGAAACTGGACAATTACTCCCTATATGCAGTTAGGACCGGCCAAAATAACACCAGCCTTTGTAACAGCTGTCACACAGTTGGCACACATTCACCTTGTGGCCTACTAGAACAGCCACAACTTTTTTGCATTAGAACAAATCCAGATCTCCCCATTCCTAACTGTATGCATGAATGTCTACTTGATATTTCTGCTGCTAAATTTCATTCTGGATTGGGTGTTTTTCTGTTTTGTTAGTTTGTTTTGTTTGGGAGGGAGGTCCCAGTGTAAAATATGTAGATCTTTTTGAAATGTATTTTTCTCCCTAAATTGTTAGCCTGAGTTTTGAGTCATCTGTAAATTTGATAATCCTCCTTTCAACCCATTCATCCAGATCATTAATAGAAAGGTTGAACAGCATAGGGCCCAGGACAGAGTCCTGCAGTACTTCACCTGAGCCAGCTGAAGTGGCACCATTAACAAGCACTCTTTGGGTGCAGCTGATCGCATCTAACTGAAGCTTCATCTAGCCCAGAGGTTACCACGTTATTAATGATGATGTCTACAGTAAACTGCCTTTGTCAACTTATGCAGGAGTGGAAGTATGGAGGAGATTATGCCAGCAGGCCTTTGGGACTTACCTGAAATCCATTTAGAGAGGGTCTGGGACAGTCAATCATCACCCAACTCCTCCTCAAATCTGTTGAATGGGGATTTGCCCAATATGTCTGACTCCCCTAAAGAGATAAGAGGTGAGAAATGAAGGTGTGTCTTGATTTTTTTCCCACTGTTTCTGTTGTCATGACAGACTAGCCCAAAAACATGGTCCTGATATCATTGATGACGACAGCAAAGACAACATAACCATCTTCACACGCATCCTGGATCGTCTGTTAGATGGCTATGATAACCGACTGAGACCTGGTCTCGGAGGTAAATCCACTTTACCTGTATTTCCTTGTGGTTTCTTGACATCCATAAACTAAAAAACTATTTCAAGCTTCTTTGCACTCTTTGTACATGAGATGTTTCTGTTATTTGAATTTAGATACAACCAATTCTTGGTGACTTACTTTGTTCTGTGCTCATGAGCAGCTGTTCCTGCCTGGGGGGAGGAGAGGCGCTGAAGCCTTCAGCAACACAACCTGTGGGTACAGTGCTGGCCATGTGGGGCATTCACTCTATACTTCCTCAAGTCGCATCTGCACTTATCTGGGCAGGTGTTCTGGCGCCCTCTGATCGTGGGTGAGAAGTCCCTCCTTGAAGAACTGAAAACAAGGCATCTGTCTTCTTGATGGTCTGTGAAGCTTGGAGAGCTCAGGGGTCACTGTGGTTATCTCACCTGCTCTTTCTTGTCTACAAGGTGCAACCCAAGTCACTGGCAGGACCAGCAAAACCACTGCCAAGCTTTGATTCTCCAAGTCATCTTGACACAAAATTGGTTTGTGCTTAATTTTGAATTGATGGGGATTTACATTCACCCAGTTGTGGCTGGGATGTATGCTCTTCATCTCTTTTATGTTCTTAATCTATTTCTGAAATATAGAACATTATCCTTCTTTCTTTCCAACTGAAACAGGCTGCAAGTTCTCTGGATATTAAAATTAAGCAGGCTTAATTTTAGAGAATCTGTCTTTCAAAAAAACCTTTTCCCACATTGATTTGGGCTTTATAAGCCATGGCTGGTGTTTTACAGTGAGTCTGTCCAATATTCAGTGGAACGGTGTAGGGCAAGGAAGCACAAGGTCTTCTTAACTGGTTAGCTATCTCTTGTAAAGCATGTTCCACTGTTTAAATAGCATCAAGCTGTAAAATATGTGTTATCACAGTGCAGTCCAACACTGGAAGGGAGAGTAAAGCTGGCCCATGTTATTAGTTATGCAGCTAGCCTCTTGGCCACCACTAAGCACTATTCTCATTCAAGAGAAAACTATCGAGCTAGTGTGACTCTTCAAAGACAAGGATAAACATGGCCAAAAAATGTGGGCTTCCCCCCCCCCAACACTCCACCAGATCAAGTGCTCTTCTCAATGCTGATCCTTCCCCTGCCTCGGTTGCATTTGTTCCCAGTTGCCAATGGAGCTTGACTTTCCTCCAAGGTGACAAAGCCTAACAGACTTTATGTAACTTGGATGTGGCAGAGTAAGGGGAAAACATTGTTTTAATGCCAGTGCAATGAAGAATGACTTAAACTTCTCTCACAGATGGGCTGGGCACCTAGTACTGCTCAAGGCATGCATGACTCCATAGTTGTATGGTATATTTAGCATAGCCCATCCCTTTCTCATCCCTGACAGTGCCCTCCCATCTCTCGGGAAGGAAAGGCTGGGTTTTCCATTCTTTTCTTACCCTGGGCATCATGTCCAGGGATGACCAAGGCTTGTTACCCTTTTCTGCATTGCCACTAATTGAGCTCAGATACACACACACACACACACACACACACACACACACATCACTCAGGGGATTTCTATTTTCCCGTCTCCAGAACAATACATGGGTCTGTCTGGCTTCCTCAATTCTGGCCTGAGGATGGTGTCATGGCAACATAACTGCTCACTCGAGAGAAATCCTGAGAATTAATGGACAAGGTTGGCCTACCCTCACAACATGGGAAAAGGCTTATGTGGAGCCACAGGGGGAGCACATTGATTGGCAGGCCTTGCTCACCTTCTAAGGCACATCCAGCTTTCTAAACCTTTGCCTATGCACAGAGGTGGGTTTCAGCAGGTTCTGACCAGTTCTGGAGAACCGGTTGCAGAAATTTTGAGTAGTTCGGAGAACACCTCTGACTGGCCCCACCCCCATCTATTCTCTGCCTCCCGAGTTCCAGCTGATCGGGAGGAAATGGGGATTTTGCAGTAACCTTCCCCTAGAGTGGGGAGGGAATGGAGATTTTACAGTATCCTTTCCCTGGAGTGGGGAAAGAATGGAGATTTTACAGTAACTTTCCCCTGTCATGTCCACCAAGCCACGCCCACCAAGCCATGCCTTGCCCACCAAGCCACACCCACAGAACCGGTCTCTACATGGGGCTCCCCCTGGGGTGCATCCGGAGGCTCCAGCTGGTCCAGAACGCGGCCGCGCGGGGGATTATGGGGGCGACGAGGCGCTCCCATGTGACACCTCTCCTGCGCGAGCTGCACTGGCTCCCGGTGGTCTTCCGGGTGCGCTTCAAGGTGTTGGTGACCACCTTTAAAGCGCTCCATGGCTTAGGGCCGGGGTACTTACGGGACCGCCTTCTGCCACCAATAGCCTCCCACCGGCCAGTGCGCTCACACAGAGTCGGCCTCCTCAGGGTGCCGTCCGCCAGACAATGTCGGCTGGCGACCCCCAGGGGGAGAGCCTTCTCTGTGGTGGCGCCCACCCTCTGGAACAACCTCCCCCCAGAGTTACGTACAATAACAGACCTCCGGATTTTTCGTCGGGCCCTGAAAACCCATTTATTTCAACTAGCTGGGCTGGCTTGAGTCAAATTTTAAACTGATTTTAAATTGGAATTGTTTTAATCACGGCCAAAAGATTTAATTATTTTAATCAGTTTTTAGATTTTGTATGTTTTGTATGTATGTCTTGTTTTTATTTTCGGCTGTTCACCGCCCTGAGTCCTATATTGGAGAAGGGCGGTATAGAAATTTAAACAAACAAATAAATAAATAAATAAATAAAACAATTTGAAACCCACCACTGCCTATGCAGTGAGGAGGGGCTTGGCATCTTTGAGCAAGAGCACTCGCAAGTCCACCCTCCATAGTACAAGCTCCCAGTCTCACTCCACATCCTTGTCAAGATACCCCTTTGTGCAAACCTCCATTCCTTTCTGTCCCAGAGAGAATGTCTAGGGAAGAACTGTAACCTTGGGTGCCTTCTATCTGGGGAATTGTGCAGCTCACTTGGCTGTTACTAAAATAAAGAAAGTGTAATTACCTGACTGGAAGTTGTAGGCCATATGCTAGAAAGGAAGTAGGGGTGCAGGAGAAGGAGGACACTCCTCCCAGGTTTGGCCAGGACTACAAAGGGAAGCTTGGCTTGTGCTCAAACCCCTTCCTACTCATCCTCCCTCCCTTGCCTTCTGGATAAACTCCTCTCTTAAGTGAGAGATCCTTTGGTTTCCACCCACCTATTGTGGAAGGGCTGCAAAAGAATGGCAGAGCAGAATTGGAGCAAAGCAGAAGCTGTGGGCAAGGGGGATCGCCTGAGCTGCCTGACTATGCTGCAGAATAAGCCAGAGTCATTGGCTGCCCTGGTGAGGTAGCCAGCAGGAGGACTGGCAAACCAGCGAGGGCAAATAAATTGATCTTGAACTGATTTGTACCAGGTTCAAAGCTGGATCAGTGGAGTTTGCTCTCCATGGCCCCAAGCAAGAAACAGGGAGCCTGCATAAAGTCGTCATAAGAGTATGGGCTAGAGGGGCTCTGTGTGTCAGAGGCAGATACTACAAACATAATAAGGAAGAAAATAAAATGAGTAAGTGCATCTCTGCCTATCTAGCAGGGATGAAATCCAGCAGGTTCTGACAGGTTCTGGAGAACCGGTAGCAGAAATTTAGAGCAGTTCGGAGAACCAGCAAATACCATCTCTGACTGGCCCCAGAGTGGGGTGGGAATAGAGATTTTGCAGTATCCTTCCCCCAGGAGTGGGGAGGGAATGGGGATTTTGCAGTATCCTTCCCCTGCCATGCCCACCAAGCCACACCCACCAAGCCACCCCACGCCCACCAAGCTACGCCCACAGAACCAGTAGTAAAAAAAAAATTGGAATTCACCACTGCTGTCTAGGTTATCTGTCTAGGAATCTCTCAACTGCCCAAGAGGCAGCACTGAGAGAGGAAACCAAAATATGTTGCCGCAGTGCTTGGAATTAAAACATGTGGTGCTTTCAGGGGCGGGGGGGAGTGGTTAGACTGGACTTGGGGAAAGTAAGTTCTCTGTGCCACAAATTTCTCTATGAAAGTGGCACAAAGTAGGGAAGGTACCTCTTCAAGAGGTCCGATACTTATCACTGGGATGACTTGGATTCAAAAGGAATGGGAGAAAAAAGACCTAAGCTGCCCATTTCACTATATATTTTAGTCTCACCAGGCATAACAAGCCTTTTATGGCTGCTTTGATATATTGTCAGAATGCAAGTAGTTGCCAAACCTTCGGATGCTGCAGGTTGAGGGAGATATTTAACTGAAAAGATGATTGGCCTCTTTCCAAGGGAACGACTCTTCTTGTAGCAAGGTTATATGCTTGGAGGGCAAAAACCTGAAGGTGTCAGGTGTCCATGCAGAAGAGCCCTTGGCTTGAAGTACTGAATGGGGAGGCATTAATGGGTAGCTTCGTGGCCTGCCTTGGTGGGGTGGAAAGTTCCAGTCCAGGTCTGCAGGCCCCTGATCTTGTTGGGACAGGACTGCAGCCCATCCCATTGCCTGGCTCAAATATTGAATTAATTAATCAAGTTTGCAAACCAGTCTTCAGCAGCAGCCCCATGTGAAGTGTCGGCTTTAAGCAATATGTAGCCTGTGCCATTTAATGGAATTTGAAAACATTATTCTTGGCTGATTGCTGATGGCATGACAGGAGATCCATGGGTCACATCATGTGTGTGTGTATATATATATATATATATATATATATATAGAAATCCTATTAAATTAACAAACATAAAAATGCATTTTTCTGTTTGAATTAAATTCTATCTCTGATTTTCTTTCAAGTCATGGGGTTATTTTAGACATCAAAGGATCCCTCAAAGCATGGACATTTCAAACAAAACCCAAGATGCTAATTTTATATCGAGATACGTTTGCTCTGTAAATACAACTTGTTTTCAATAGCTATCATGTTTTATGTTGTTTCAGATACAGTAACTGAAGTCAAAACCAACATCTATGTGACAAGTTTTGGCCCTGTCTCAGACACTGACATGGTAGGTGATGCTTTGTTATATCCAAGCTTCCTGAGGGTAAGGGATGCTCTCAGCTAGCAGAGTAGCATTTCCTTAAAAAATATTTTGGTATTATGGCCTCTCCTGCAGTTGGATTTTAGAGGGAGGGCTGGGGAGCAATAGTGGGGTGATTTCTAGCAGGAGCCCATCAGGTTCTGAGGACTGTTCTGAAGGATGAGTAGGTGTTGACGGGCTTGGTAGGACCAGGGGGAATGGCTTCCCATGGCCAATGGAAGAATCCTCCAAGTCCCTGGAGCTAGACTATCAATTCAACTTCTGACCCAGAAGAGCAGGTTGGTAAAGGTTGCCCCTGGAAGTGCCATCATTGGTTGGCAGCAAAGAGGTCTGTGGGGCTGCAGACTCTAGTGGGGAAGGGAAGGGAAAGGAAGGGAAGGGAAGGGAGAGAACTGGATAGCCCTTGAGTGAAAATAGGAATGAGATAGCTGAGATCTGAACAATCTCCACTATAAATAAATACAGCCAGGAAATAAAATCCCATTCATGTGAAGAAAACAGAATTAGTTTTCCATGCCCTCTATGTTGGGGAATTCTTCCTGGGATTCTCTGGCTAATACAGACTGAGCCTGCTGGCAGACTGGAATTCTCTGGTTTGTTTGGGTTGCAAGTCTGACTTCCTCTGCCCCAGAGAGAAGCTCTTGGCAGAGACAGCTGGCTCATCGGCACTTATTTGCTGGAATCTGAACCTGCCTCCTTCCTGAGTCCAGTGAACAGAATTTGCCTCCCTCAGGTCTCTCCATCTGGGCCTGTGGGATGGGACGTTTGAGTCCCTCTGAAGTCATCAGCCCTGCTCAGTCTGTCTGTGGCCTTCAGCAGCGTAGTAGGTTTAACAGGCTTTCTCCAGGCCAGCATAATTGCTCTGCTTCTACAATTGTAAATAAAGCAGGAAGGAGTCTCTGCTGCTGCTCTGCCAAATGGTTGACTCACGGCACCTGATCTATAAGGTGGTCATGAAGGTGCTAAAGCATCCAGTTACCCCAGGTATGTCAATCAGGCACTGCAAACCAATGGAATGGTGCAGGGGAAGAGATGCTGGGTAGATTCAGGGTTACCCTGGCTTAAAAGCAAATGCTTCACTTTCACACTCCATCAGGAAGCTCCAAAATCTGGACAGCTGCCACCCTTGCAAAGAAAGTTAACTCCATTTCATTTGGGACTGCGCTCTCTCTCTCACTCTCTCGCTCTCTCTCTTTCTCCCTCCCTCCCTCTCCCTTTCTCCCTCTCCCTCCCTCTCTCTCCCTCTCCCTCTCTCTCTCCCCCTCCTTCTCTCCCTCTCCCTCCCTCTCTCGCTCCCTCTCTCCCTCTCCCTCCCTCCCTCTCTCTCTCCCTCTCTCTCCCTCCCTCCCCCCCTCTCTCTCCCTCTCTTTCTCTCTCCCTCCCTCCCTCCTTCCCTCCCTCTCTCTGCCTTATTTTTGCACAATAAGCCAAGAACCTTAATATATTCAATCATTCCACCTTCAGGGAGTACCTTGTCATTACTATAAAGTTAAGCATATTTGATTAAGTGAGCATGTATAATGAACTGTGAAGAAAGGAGAAATCAAAAGAGTTGAAAATAAATTGCATTTTCTACTGCTACGTGATCTTACAAAATTTACTCAGCGGAAGATGGGTAAAGTCGAATGTGAAGTGGTTGCTTCACTTCTGCACAAATCCTCCTCCTTAGCCAACACATCTCATCCATCGACCTTTTTTTGGCGGACCCTTTGTCCTCCCCTCCCTCAGGGGATCGCCCAGGGGCAGGAGCTGGCTGGAGAGGGAACAGCCTTTCCCTTCCACAGGGCTATGGGCCAAGGACCCTGGGGGCTAGCTAAGCTTTTCTGGGGGAAGGGGAGAGCAACTGCTGCTGTAGCTGGCAGCGCTCTGCATCCATTATCATTAGTGCTCCTTGCCACATGATTGTTGCTATGGCAACTGCTGGGAGGGGGTCTGTTTTTCTGCACTTGTTGCTGGGCCTTTTCTCCTTATGATGATGGGGAGGGGGCTTGGAAACACCCAGAGAACAGCACATCCTCCTGAGCCTACATAGTCCTGCTGCCCAGCCCAGAGTGAGGGTTCAGAAGGAGAAGGCTTGATGATTGCCTCCCTCCCCTGTAAACTGGCTTCTGGAAAGAGCAGCTGATGTTCTGTCAGGCTCCTGCAATCTCTTCTTCCAGCTGCCTCCACACTTAGGGCAAAATCCCATACAGACCCTTTCGTGCTCTGAGAGGAACCCAGCAACTGGGCATCTCCTGAGGGCTCTCACCATTTTGCTGCTCCTGCCAGTTAGTTTTTCTTCCCAAGAAGGTTTGAAAACTCAGCACCCGCAGCCTTCGCTGCACTTGAGCTGCTTCTAGAGACAAGAGCGTAACTAGGGCGCCCCTGAGTGACCTTGGATTTCTTTAGCCACCCCATGTCCGGCCACAGGCCAAATCAATCATGTGAGGGCATCACTGAGACAGCAAGACAGTTACAGTAGCAGAAGCCGCCTGCAGCAAACAGGGCAGAAGTGACCAGGGTGGGGGGCAGGAAGGCAGGATCTCAGGGTGCAGGACACGTGGACCGCAATGTATGATGCTGGGGTGGTGGCCTCTTTGGATTCTTCACTCTGTGGGGTTCTGAGGTGCCAATTCTGGTGTGAACAGCCAAGACCGAGGCAGGCATTGAACAGAGGCCCTCGAGGTGCGTGCCATGGTTTCCCCTTGTGAAGTCTGTTGGGTCCAGGATTCTTCTTTATTGTGAGCAGTGCCAGGGAAGGGCCTGTTCCTGAGGCAGCCTCGTCTTCAGATCCTTTCTTCACCGGCAGGAGTACACCATTGATGTCTTCTTCCGGCAATCCTGGAGAGATGAGCGGTTGAAATTTGATGGTCCAATGAAGATTTTGCCCTTGAATAACTTGCTAGCCAGTAAGATCTGGACCCCAGACACCTTTTTCCACAATGGAAAAAAATCGGTGGCCCACAACATGACCACACCAAACAAATTGCTTCGACTGGTAGATAATGGCACTCTCCTCTACACCATGAGGTGAGTTGGGGCCTCTGGGGTAGGGCGTTTTTTGGGTTGTGGCATGGGCTGCCCTGCCAGGAACCTCTTGGCCTTGATGGATCGTTGCTGTGACTCTGGAAGCAGCAGGAGGCAACCTCAGATTGGCCACCGAGAGGTCAGATGGAGGGACTGGATTAACCACACCTTACAATGGAGCTTCCCTCTCAACACCACTTGTGGAATGTGACAATGGACTTTTGCACACTCCATTGCACAATGCGGTGCATCTTAGTGGAATAGCAGTATAGGGCTATCGAGGCAGTTTTAAAAGCATACATTTTATGAGTCAACACCGTCTCTGGTGGAAAGACAAGTTGTGATAGCTGAGAAAGAAACCAATCAAAGGGTTTGTCATAGGTCTCGGGGCTAAGCCCCGGGAGCCTCCTGCTTGACAGTGGGTCCTCTCCTTTGCAGATTGACTATTCACGCAGAGTGCCCCATGCATCTGGAGGATTTCCCCATGGATGTACATGCCTGCCCACTGAAGTTTGGGAGCTGTAAGTACTTCATTGTTCTTTAGCTTGAAGGGAAGGGAGGCTTTTGCCTGCTTAAACTCGCATAGGTTGTGGTGACATCACGGTCTGCATCTACAGATGGAGGTGGAAACTAGCCTGCTTCCACTTCTTCTGATTTAAGAGCTGAAGTTATGTACATGACTGCATTTCCACTCACACTAGTAATACTATTACTAAATTTGCAGCTGATACAACAGTGATGGGACTGATCTTGGAGGGGGGGGCGGGGATGAGTGTGCCTATCAAGATGAAGTGGAATGGTGGGTTTCATGGTGTGGAGACAATAATAATAAGACCAAGGAGGTTATATAGAAGGAATAGATCAGGCATCCAGCCCTTGCTTATCAATGGAGACTGAATGGAGCAAGTGGCCAGTTTTAAGTTTCTTGGTGTTATCATAAAAGAGGACTTGACCTGGGGCACTCACATTGCAGCACTGATCAAAAGGGACCAGGAAAGATTATACTACCTGAGACTTCTCAGGAAACAACAACTGAATGAAACACTGCTAGTGGCCTTCTACTGCTGCACCATAGAGAGTATTTTAACTTACTGCATCTGTGTATGGTTTGTAAATTGCACAATGGCAGATAGGATAGCACTCCAGAGGGTCAACATTGCCCAGAGGATCATTGGTTGCCCTCTCCCCTCTTTGGAAGAGCTTTATAGTTCCCACAGCCTTAAGAAAGTTCAAAACATCCTTAAAGCTCCATCTCATCGTGGGCACCCTTTTTTTGAACTATTACCATCTGGCAGACGGTACAAGACAATAAAAACAAGGACAAATAGGCTGAAAAACAGCTTCTATCCCAAGGCAATATTGAATTCTATGGTATAGTGCAATATCGGATTTTCAATTTCGATTATATAGAATGTAAAGGATTTATGTTTGTGTTTTTTATTTTTATAGTTATAATGTACACTGAAGATGGCATTTAATTTTGTTTATACCATGTGCAATGACACTAAACTAAACTAAACTAAACTAAACTAAACTAAACTAAACTAAACTAAACTAAACTAAACTAAACTAAAGAAGCTTCTTGGATGAGAAGCGAAATGTTTTCTGTCAGAGAATTGAGCAGCAGCAACTGACCACATGAAGTTGGAGACACTGACACAAACTTGTAGTTTTATATAAATAAATATACTTTACATTTATACTCACAGCAGACAAGAGAATCAGGAACATCATGAGGTAAATCATTAGACAGTATGCGGAGCAAACACACACACACAAAAAAAAAGGCGGGAAGAAAAGGAAACTCCCCCTTATACCCACAGCAACCAATCACAGCGCAGATTGCCTCATGCAGGAGCCAGCACTTTCCGACCAATCAACTACAACTGTGTGTTCTGGCCATTGTACACTTTACCGTTCCAGCTACTAAATTTAATATCCTAAGAAAAACCCAAGAAAGTCCGGTTGCCTTTTGGAAAAAGCAGCTCTGGGACTTCATCTTTAGTTTGCTCAGTGTCCCAATGGGGAAGGGAATCTTGCAGAAACCCTGAGTTGTATGGGGCTTTGTAGGTCACGAGCAGCAGCCTCTCATATCCAGCATTCGTGTTCCAATGGCAGTAATGGGACATAAGTACTATATAGAGACCGCTGCATTTTGCAGCATTTATTGAAAATGTCTATACACCACTCTTATAACCAACTCAGGGAGGCTCCCAATCAAAAGGTTTGTAGGTGATCATCAAGTAGAGCCCCATCTATAATGAATTGCGGCAAGCCGAAGACATCTTCTTTAGTGCAAACCAGTGATGGGTTTCAAATTTTTTTACTACCGGTTCTGTGGGTGTGGCTTGGTGGGCGTGGCATGATTTGGTGGGCATGGCTTGGTGGGCGTGGCAGGGGAAAGATACTGTAAAATCTCCATTCCCTCCCCAATACAGGGGAAGGTTACTGCAAAATCCCCATTTCCTCCCAATCAGCTGGGACTCGGGAGGCAGAGAATAGATGGGGGCGGGACCAGTCAGAGGTGGTATTTACTGGTTCTCCAAACTACTCAAAATTTCCGCTAACGGTTCTCCAGAACTGGTCAGAACCTGCTGAAACCCACCTCTGGTGCAAACCCCTCTGGATGAGGTTGCCACTAGCCCAACCAACCAAAGCTGGGTGAAGGCTTTCTGGCCGTATCTTTCATCTGTTCTGTAATTTTTCCTTCATAGATGCCTACACCACAACAGAAGTCATCTACACTTGGACTCTGGGAAAAGTGGAGGTGGCTGAAGGTGGCTCCCGCCTCAATCAATATGACCTCCTTGGCCATAATGTAGGCAGAGACTCAATTGAGTCTAGCACAGGTAATTTGGATGGCCGAAGGCACCAAGAAGCAGAGGTGATGCAGGCTGCAGGAATAGAGATCACTTTTATAGAGGGTTAAATGAGTGGGGTAGTTTTGGAGAATGGCCCTTACTATTGGATGATCCCCTGAAAAGCATGTTTGATTTCCATAGGGAGAATAGAATAGAATAGAATAGAATAGAATAGAATAGAATAGAATAGAATAGAATAGAATAGAATAGAATAGAATAGAATAGAATAGAATTTTTTATTGGCCAAGTGTGATTGGACACACAAGGAATTTGTCTTGATGCATAAGCTCTCAGTGTACATAAAAGAAAAGATACGTTCATCAAGAATCATAAGGTACAACACTTAATGATAGTCATAGGGTACAAATAAATAATCAGGAAACAATATCAATACAACAATATTTGTAACACATGGTCCTTCTTGTGGCAAGAAGAAGAAGAAAACCCCTTTCCTCCTGTACATCTAAGCTCAGGGGCTGTGTGGCCTGTCACTGTCAGAAGAAGGCAGGACCAGGCAAGGAAATTTGTACCAGTCTCTTAGGGCAGTGATGGCAAACCTTTTCAGCACCGAATGCCCAAACTGGAATGCATGTGCCAGAGTGCCAGAAACCCAAAGACCACTTGACTGGTGCGCATGGGCTCACCGGCCAGATGGTGTTTGGGTTTCCGGCACGTGCAGGCATGCCGGAGAGCTGGTGTTTGCATGCACCGGAGCACCAGAAACCCGAAAACCAGCTGGCGATGCCACGTGTGCCCACAGACAGGGCTCTGTGTGCCACCTCTGGCATGTGTGCCATAGGTATTGTGACCCAGGCCGAAGTAGGTATTATCAGACGCAATCAGTTCAAAAACAAACAGACTTTATTAGAACAGCTGAGAATTAACTCATTCTCAGCGTAGTCCAAACTAATTCAAAACGAATTCTTCATAACACAATTCTTCAGCCTTATCTCCAACCTTGGTCTAATTAGGCAACCTGCCAAATGCTTTTCTTGGCAAAAGTTCAGAAGCAGAAGATGCCGACAAGAAATAAATGCAGCATGACAAGAAACAAATCTATCAACGTTGTTTTCTGACAAAGAGCCCAAGAGCCGTTGCTGGTCTTTTAAGCCTTTTGGAAGGGGCCAATCATCTCTTGGCCCTACTCCCAAGTCATCCTTTTTGCTTTAGCTACTCTTGCCTTCTGGCAGTTCTTCTCATGCTTGCACTAGGAACAGGCTCCTCCTGTTCCTCTGCCTCTCTGCTGTCAGCCTCTGGAGGCTCCAGAGTCTGCACATCACTCGCAGATGGCCCTCGCCCCATCTCTGCCTTCGACGCAGAGCCCTCATCTGGGCCTTCCTCAGCCTCCAGGACTGGCCCATGTTCTTCCTCTGCCTCCTCACTGTCTGACTCCGCTGCCAGTTCCGCAGGCTGCTGGCGGACCACAACAATAGGTTCACCTTCACAGTCTTAGGGCAATAATTCAAGTAATTTAAGTATGTGAACCAATTCACTGAGTGGACTTGACAACTCCATCCGGTTTCATGAAAGGAGAATGTAGAAGACCCTGAGAAGGGCATTGCCGGCTATTTCATTTCCCTAGATCGATGACATCACATGAGACCAAAAGACCATTTTTACAAAACAATTACAGATGTAGTATGTGAAAGGCAGATTTTTAAATTGTGAAGATACAGATTTAGGTGCACCCCAATTGTTAACTGTGATTGGTCACTCCAGTGAGCAGTTTTCCTGCACATTTATAAGGAGGGCAGCTGAACTAACACATTGCTGTCTGGATTGTCCACAAGATATTAGTATCACTGTATTGTGGCCTTTTTCTTTCCAGGAACCTACATTGTGATGACCACTTACTTCCATCTCAAGCGCAAGATCGGATACTTTGTGATCCAGACTTACTTGCCCTGCATCATGACAGTCATTCTCTCCCAGGTTTCCTTCTGGCTCAACAGGGAGAGTGTCCCAGCCCGAACAGTGTTCGGTGAGTGTGTCCTTGAGCAGGCTGCAGGGAGAAGAGAGCCAGCAGGCACTCACAGCCTGGGCCTTTCTGTCTTACTTGCCTGGACACTGCCGCTCCTCCACCTCCTCCTTCCTCCTCCTCCTCTTTCAAGGTGAAAAGATAATCACAAGAAAAACGTATTACAAGAACAGGAAAAGCCAGGGTCAAAATTCACCCCATATAAGTGCATAGGCTGCCTTGGGAAGTATAGAGATCCTTATTATGTGTAAGTATGTAAATCTATCAGACACTTATCGTGTGGGGTTCTCTAGGATTCGGATTCTCTCTCCTATTTAGCATTTTCATGAAGTCGCTGGTGGAAGTCATCGGTTTTATTGTTTTTAAATTGTATGGGGTTTTTAATTGCTATTGTGTTGTACACCACCCCGAATATGTGCCTGTGAGATGAGCAGCTACTGTGTATGCTAATTAATTAATTAATTAACAAAATACTCTATTACACCAGCATTATAGATTCTTATTCAAAATGGTAAGGATCATTAACGTAGCAGATAAACAGTGCCTGAATTTGTCATTCATTATAGAGGTTTTCAAACCTCATTGATGCTGTATTTTGAAAGATTGTTGAGTGATTTCCCAACTTAAGGGGGGAAAAAAACAAGACAAAAGAAAATCCTGCTAGCCTGGACAGAAGAGAGCCTGAGGATGGGAAGCCTGCCTTCTTCAGCTGCCTCTGATCTGTTCTTCCTTTCACAGGTGTCACTACAGTGCTGACCATGACCACCCTGAGCATCAGCGCACGGAATTCCCTCCCCAAGGTAGCCTATGCAACGGCTATGGACTGGTTTATGGCGGTGTGTTATGCCTTCGTCTTTTCTGCGCTGATTGAATTTGCTGCTGTCAATTATTTCACTAAGCGCAGCTGGGCCTGGGAAGGCAAGAAGGTGCTGGAGGCTCAGGAGATGAAGGTGAGAAGGGAGAGGCAGAGGGGAAGGGAAGGGAAGGCAGTTGGGCTCTTTTTGTCATGGTACTTTAAAGAGCAGAGTAGGCACCAAAGTTCTCACATTTGCATCAGAAAACACCACCAAGAGAGGGTCCCCTATTCTAAAAATTAGAAGTTCATTTCTGAAGCGCCTGGGTTCCAGGAGGTACTCAGTTCCAAAAGGTTGTGCCCTTCTGGCCCTTTCTCTTCCAGAATGGAGATCCATGTTAGGGTCAAATCAGAGCAGCAGCAGCACAGCAGCCCTTTTTCTTAGATTTCGATTCCCACAGAGGCAAATGTCTTTGGATGCATCAATACCATTGGGCCATTAGCTCACCGTCTTTGCTTCTCCTCTCAGAAGAAAGAGCCAGCCACATTGGCTAAGAAAACGAACAACACCTACAACATTGTGGGGACCACGTACGCTCTCAATATCACCAAGGAGCCTACCCTCCCAACCATTGCCAAGAGTGCGGCTGCTCCCACAGCCACACCTGCTGCCGTGGTGGTCCCTGCCGTCAAGGTGCCCCGATTGGAAGAGAAGCCTCTGGAGAACAGGAAGACCTACAACAGTGTCAGCAAGGTAGACAAAATGTCTCGCATTGTCTTTCCGGTCTTATTTGCCATTTTCAACATGGTGTACTGGGCAACGTATGTCAACCGGGAGTCAGCCATCAAGGATATGATCCCCAAGGATTGAAACTAGCTGTGCACCCTCCATATGTCCATGCAATTCCGGACAGAGGAGCCCTGGGGGTTGCTTTGGTCCCCCTGCTGATACTATAATCATTTTTACCTTTTATTATGATTAATATTATTCAGCTGACTTCCTTCCTCTCCTATGTGAATCAAACTTTGATTTTAAAAAAGAAAACAAAACAAAATCAAGAATGTTATTGGATGTATTACATTTACTGTTTGGGGCAGGGGACGTCCCTGAGAGACCCACGGGGGGAAAGTGTGTCTATCTTAGAGTCTGACATCCCTTTGCTCCAATCTTGCCGACTCCTCTCCAACTTGCCAGGAGCCGGTTTCCTATCTTGCTCATCTTGTGTGAGACATACCAAGGGGCCCCTGATGCCCATGGCCTCTGGGGAGCTGGAGGGAGGGGCCTTTCTCACTGGAGTGCCTGGGGTTTCAGTGAGAAAGATGTCCCTCATTTGGAGAACAAGTTAGGTCCTCTTGGGGCTACTTGGCTGTTCGGAAAATGTGATGAGAGCAGAAGGGGTAACTTTGCCTAGCAGGCATATGAAGGACAGCCACTCACAGAGGCCAGGCAGGTCCTGGACTCAATACTTGCACGTTCTCACAAAAGCTGTTAGGATATAACAGGAACAACAGGTGTCAATACTGAACAGGTGTCTGTTTCAGGAACTTTGCAGTTTTATCATGACAGACTTTGTCCTCCATGGGTTATTTTTCTGAATTTTTCACTGGATCTATGGTTCAGAATTATTTGTTTCCGGTCCTATAGCAGTACTCTATATAGCAGATTTTATTATCTGTTGTTATCTAAATTGGATTTTGAAATTTTTTAAATATTAAGTAAGCATAATTAGCCGATGCAGCATTTCTCTGTTCTTTCAGAGAGATTATTTTTTCATTTCCTTCATTAAGTCATGTGCATGGATAAATGTGCACATTAAAACATAGTGCACAGTGGTTTCTTGAGAATGCATTTGTGGAATGAATTAATCAACATACGCATTTCAATTTTATTTCACCATCGATATACACATGCAATAAATGTGCATTTATAGTCTTTTGAAATATTGCCAGTACACAAGAAGCACTTGAGCTTATTGGAAGCATTTCCTGCGAAAATGAGCAGATCGACTGCAAGCCTGAATTGCTTCCTTTTGAGGAGAAGAGAAAGAAGCTGATCTACCTTTCAGTTTAAAGAATAGTTTAAATCGAAAGGAGTGCAGGCACTTTTCCATCTTCTGGCCCTCCAGCCAGCAGGAAACTCAGAAACTATCCTTGACTTGGAAGTGATCAAGCAAAAAGGGGAGAAACCTGTCCACGTACAGGCTTCTTCTGCACACCTGGCCTCTTGGCCAATATTTTGAAAGGGAGCCCAAGTTCATTCCAGATTCAACCACAGCTGGAGGAAAGGGAGCTGCTTAAATCTCTATGGAGCCACCCCCACAATAGGACAAGGGTGTGCAATTGCACGCTCCTGCACATTGCACCGTACCCGTATTGAAAGATGAAGATTATTTCAGGGTTGAGGTTTCTGCAGCCTCCTTATTATAGGCTATTTGTGAAGACAGAAGGTGTACAAATAGAAACAAGCTGCACTGAACAGTAGTTGCAAATTTTAAAACATGTGAAATTGGTAAAGATAAGAACAAAACACAATACGAAACCAAATTGCAAAGAATAACCAAGAAAAACATGATAAGAAAATGGTGGAATTTCTGATATGCCTAAAAATAATAATTACCACTGAACAAGTAAAAAGGAAACTAAATACAAAATAGAAGGATGAAAATATAAAGAATGGCCAAATGCCTTTCCCAGTCTTTTGGCCAGAAGAGGAACTCCTCCCTGGTCTATTCTCCATTTGATGGCTGGGGAGCACTTCTGCTTGACTCTTGTTCTTTGGCATCTGGCAGCCTTTCTCTGTTTCTCACGGAACAATTTTCTTGAGAAGGCTTGGGGCTTGATATTTAAGTTTTGAACATATGGGCATAAAATATGTAATTCTTCATTTCCCTTAATTGTCACAAGGATCTGGATTTAAATTGTTCTGTTTTGTATACGCACATGTTGAAGCATTTCCATTTGAACCCTTAACCAAAAGCCCACTTTTAAAGACATGTCTTCATTCTCAGCCCCTTTAATAGCGCATCCAGCACTTGCTATCCTGAGTCTTGCCCTTCTGTCTCTCCTGCTTGGCTCTCCAAAGCCTCTTCGGGGACGGAGGTGCAAGAAGGAAGCCCCTAGAGCTCAGCTGAGCATCTGCCTTGCCTGAAAAGCCTTTCCTGCTCCTGGAACTCTTCACCTGGAGAATCTGAGGCTGGAACATTGGGAGCAGCCATTGGTGGGGAGGGAGAGAGTTGATTAGATAACTTCCATGAAGCTTGCAAAAACCTACATAAAAACAATCATCCAAATATGCTTAAAAATAAGAAATATTAAATATTGAAGCATTCCAACCATAAGCATTTGAACACAAAAAAAGCCTGGTTATAAGATCCTAGCTCCACTCTACCCCAAAGTGTAATAAGGGGGAAAATGCCCCCGTGCAGGATTCAAAGGAAAGTCCTTCCAAGGACAGCTCCTCTGGCCAACCAACCGCAGTGGAGCTGACTTCACCCTGCTGCTTTGGTCCTGCTCCTTCTCGCTTGCCCCTCTGCATTCCTGGCCAGGGACAGTTGCTGGATCCTCTTTAAGGACCGGTCATATTGCAATAGCTGGAATGTGAACCAGTGTCTGTCTACGGAGAATCTCAATCAACCAAGTCATGGTTGTCCCAAAGATGCTTTTCAAAAGGCAACTGGTAAAGTCCAAGAACGTCCAGTTGCCTTTTGAAAAACACCTTTGGGATCTACCGATGAACGGCTTGTCAATGGGCACGAGCAAAAAGCCTTCCTTGCTTCTGATGTTCTGTGGCCACCCAGACCCAGGAAGAAAAGCAGGTGGCAACCTTCTTCTCCTTTTGTGAGAGAGCAACCAGATGTGCTACTGCATAGTAGGATAAAGACAACGGACCAAAGATTTGCTGCTGGGGTGGAAAAGCATCTAAACACATGAGCCACATCCTGTTACAGCCAGTAGACAGCACAAAAAGGAAGTCTAGTCTGAGAGCGCCAGGACAAAGTTGTAAAAGGTTTTAAAATAGTCCTTTCCTCACTTATGTAGAAGTCCCCCTGGTAATGAAGAAAGCAGAACAATGGCTGGCAAAGAAAAGTCATTCCCAAACCAATCATGAAAAAAATTAGGTATCATACATCGTTTGAAAAAGCTTTGCCAAACTTCAACCAATGGCTTGTTGCTCAGCAGTATCTCAGACCATTGAGTGAGAGAGAGTTTTAGAGAGTTTTTGTATTACCTGGCTACCAGTTTGTAATTGTCCAGAGTTCTGCATTCAAGATATGATCGTCCTACTGTGGGATCAGCCATGCTGGCTTATTCAGGAGAGGCTTTGCCCCTCATCTCTCAGTGCTCAAGAAGCCCAAATGAAGCCACACTGAGTCTGGTGTGAGGAATTGGGGCACCTTCACCCATAGAAAAATCCATTCTCTTTTGGTGGGGAAGAATTGAAGCCATGAATTGGGTGGGGATGAACTTGCCATAGTTTCATTCTTCAGTTCCTAAAAAATATATTTCCTAGAATTATTTCCCAAATATTACTGAGGTTCAGATTCACTAGCTTTAGTAACTTCAAACATTTTGTTTTCAATTTATTTAGTTAGTTCATTCATATTTGTTGTTGGATTTGTTATCTATTGAATCTGCCGTTAATCACTACAGTCTGGATTTGCTAAATGCAAACAAATGTTGTCTTAGAGGATATTTTTTAAAATCATCTTCAAGGCAATTATACAAAATATCCCAAACTCAGTAGATATGCAGCATCTTTTTCTTTTCATAAAAATCTCTCATTGGGTTGTAAATATAATTGTGAATGTTTAGAAAAAATAAAACAGGGATTGGTGGTTCAAATCTCTTTTTTTTTTTAATAGTTTTTATTGAATATAAATATTAAAAAAGACATACGTAACATATACACAACTAACATTTATACAACATATACACAAAAAGAATATAATTTCTTCTTAAGCATTTTTTCAGAGTGATGTTCTACACTTCTACTTATAATATATTCCTTCACCTTTCTGTAATCTAATAATATTTTTATTACATATATATGTATCAATCAGTAATATATCCCCTATATTTTTTGTATATTTCTAATTTTTAACCAATTATACCAATTATTCCATATCCAAATCTCTTTCTGATCAGCCTTTTTGTGTATAATTGTTATCTGCCTGAGAGGCACCCACCTTGAAAGACTGCTTTTTGGGGCAGGGGGCATCAATGCTTTGGAATGCCCCCCCCCCAAAGTGGAGGAGCTCCTACAAGTTAGCAAGTTTCAAAGTCCTCTAGAAGACCATAGAGATATCACTGTTTACCACTGTTACCTTATGGTGTGAACTGTTACTTTTGTTTCTGTTTTGGTAGGATTGCATTGTATTATGATGTTGGGAGTTCGATTTCTTACTATATGTTATTGTCTTTATGTTAATATTCTTACTCCAGATATATGTTATTATAATTTTATACCGTAAGGCTCCATGAGACTTGATAATTTGAAATGCTCCTCCTACTCCTCCTATAATAATAATATCCAAGAGGGTAGCCAGAGATCATCAGGAGGTTCCAGATGTCCCCAGGGAATTGAATCATAGAGATGAACTGATGATCCTGGCTATCACAAAAAATAAGCCCAGGAAAGGGAAATTTTGCTTGAGAACAAGACATGAGGAAGAAAAAACATAATTCCAGACATGTCCCAAACTCTGACTCAAATGAAAGACCAGAGAAAGCACTGGTTGAATTAGATAGAAGGAGGCCTACACAGCCTATTTTTAAGAAATAGGGAAACTCAGAAACAGGGACTAGTTGTGCAATTAAGTCAAAGTTGACTCAGCCTTCCATCCTTCCGAGGTTGGTAAAATGAGGGCCCAGATTGTTTGGGGTGGGGAAGGCAAGAGGCAGACTCTGTAAAGCTGTAAAGCACTGTGAAGTGGTATATAAGTCTTAAGTGCTAATTGGCAAAATGGGAAGGGGAAGCAAGAGAAGAAAAGAGGAAGAGAAAAAGATGTGATTGCTGAGAATGTCTCCAGTGGAGAAAAAGAGCAGGAGTGCCAGGAGCAAGGCAGAAGAGAGAGCAGCAGAAGGCAAAAGGGAGGTGGGAGCCATGCAAGCATCATTGGGCAGACTCTAAGCACCTCCACAGAAGCCGAGAGAGCAGCAAGCTGGAGAAGGCAGGGCCTGGTTTCTCTGGAGAATTTCCAAGCTAGTGGTGGACTTCTGGACCCATCTGCCTCCCACCTCCAAGCCTTTGCAATGCCCCCCAAAGTCAAGGCAACCCTCGTTGTATACGCAAGGTGAAACTATGAACTGCCATGCTGTCTAAGGTGGACAGCCAGAAAATAGATTTAGCATTTGACCTCATTATCATTTTGGCAGCAAGATGCTACCAGGAGTCTACTTTTAACATCTTTAGCGTCAGAGCATCAGAACCAGTTTGATATAGTGATTAAGAGCATTTAGGTACAACCTGTGAGATCCCAAGTTCTAGCCCATCTTGGGCACAAAACCAGCTGAATGACCTTAGGCCAGTCACTCTCTCTCTCACCCCTAAGAAAAAAGCAATGGCAAACCACTTCTGAAATACCCTTGCCAAGAAAATTTTAGGGATTTGTCCAGGCAGTCCCTGAGAACTGAAATGATGGAATGGAAAGAAGGGGAAAAACTTCAGGGAGCTAAGAAAAGGTTACAGCTGCTATAATGATTCTTGGAAAATCTGCCAAATAGGAAATTAAAGTAAGGGCATGGCATGTGCATTGTCCCAATGTGCCTTTGGCCCGGATTGATCATGAACGGCCATTGCTGGTATTATTGTTTATACTATTGTCCTGTTCTCTTTTATTGTTTCTATCCTGTTTGCTTCCCAGAGGCCCTTTGGATTGGACTGGATTATAAATATTGTTAAATAAATAAATAAATAAACAAATAAATAAATAAACAAATAAGAATAACTGTTCCTTTCAGCATCAAAAAAAAAAAAACTTCTTGGGAGGGATATAGTTGTCTTTTCCACCAAAGGACACAGGGCTGCCAAGACCAAATTCATGGCTAAGGGAAGACGGATTTCAACTGACGTCACCTTTCCATTTATGGTAGGCACAAAATTTAGGGTCTTCTGGAAAAATTGTGTCACTTTCAGAACATTTACAAACTGAGCAAAGGACCTGTCTACTAAAACCTGAAGTCAAATGGTGGCATATGAGGCACTGGTCTGCAATCGCACATTAGCAAAAACTAGCTAGAAAGCCTGCTTTTGTCTTGTTCTGCTATGTTCCTTATCCTGGCATCTCTGTAGTGCTCACAGATCAGAGGGCATTACTGACTATTGGGCACAGATGGAGCCCTCCATTAATCAAGGCAGGTGGAGGAGTGCCAAGCACTATTTTCACTCTTTGTGACTGAAAAAATTTGTTGCCAGGATAAGGAAAAGAAGTGCTCCCATTTCTGTTTCTTGTCATGTGCATTCAGGGAGGGATGAGTCCAGGTGTTGAGAGGACTCTCCCTCCCATTCCGGGAGGGTTTGGTGGAGCTAGATTGAAAGCAGGGAGACAAGCGGAGCAAGAAAGGTTTTCCTGAGGAGGCCATTTCTCCTGGTTTGCTACTCAGACCAGCTTGCAGGTAGTCCTCAATTAGTGACCACAACTGGACCCCATTAAGTGAAGGAGTTGCAAAATATACCGTAACCCTGACTGTGCTTATTATCTTACTCCAACTGTACTTTACAGATCAGCAAAAGTTGTAAATGTGAGGCTTGGTGGCAAACTTACTTTTTCATCACCATTGTAATTGTGAATGGTCGCTAAATGAGGTGGTCACAAAATGAAGACTACCCATAACTGAGAAAATGATATAGGATGAATTTTCCAGTCTTTCCCCTCACACCAGTTTTAATTTTTTTACTTAAACAGCAAGGGGCTTTAGGAAGACAGAAATCTTGAAATGAACAAAATAGTGGAATTAACCAATTAGCTAACCATACTAGAAGTCAAACAAAATGCCACAGAGTACAGGTTCTCTGAGCAGAAAAGATCCTCGGCCTGTGCCAGAGCAGGAGGAGGCGCTGAAGGAGCTCTACTGTCAACTCAAAAGGTGCTTTTCAAAAGGCAACTGGACTTCCTTGGTTTTATCCTTGAAAACATTTTGCTTTTCATCCATTCATTCATTTCGTCAGTCTTGGATGAGAAGTGAAATGTTTTCAAGGAAAAAACGAAGAATGTCCAGTTGCCTTCTGAAAAGCACCTTTGGGACAACCACAACATGGATGATTGAGAATCTCCATAGTATTGTCAACAGAAAGAACCAGCGTTCAGAGAAGATATCCCACTATTCCTTTGAATTAGCAAACCTCCAGTTCTCAAATTCCAGGTGGAGCACTATTTCCCAAGCTGACCCTTAAAGGGGGGCTGATTCTCAAAGGGGGGCTTTTCTGCAAGGGATCAGAGGAAACATTCCAGACTCTTGTCCTGCATCTCCCTGAGAAATACAGTTGGCCTTATTATCCCTTCAGGGCCAAGGAAGGATAAATGAGAGGAGGAGAAGCCTTAGATTAGAAGAAAAATTCCCAGAGGATACATCGTGGTGAGTCTTGGGGCATTCTGGAGGAGAAAGACAGTTATAATGCATGCGTAATTAATTGTGAAAGTGAGAGAGAACATTTCACAACTAATTATATTTTAAGCATTAACAGCTGATGGTGATAACAGCTAAACCCTAGACTACAAATTTCTGCATTTCAAAAATTAGCACGTAAAGAAGAATAGAGAAGTTGGCCAAAGACCTGGGAGAAAAGTGGGGAGGCCCTCTTGGCCAATGAGCCCTTTGGCAAGAGCCCAGCTGCAGAGAGCAGCTTTTCCCCTTCAGGATACCATTGTGGGAACCCTCCTGGGTATCTCTGTCCCCCTTCCATGCCAGAAAGTGCCCTCAGATGTGATGGAGGAGTACATCCACATCGCCCCTTCTATGGGTGGAGAGGAGCGTTTTTGTCCCATGGAGCCTGCTGGCCTTGGGCAGGTGAAAGAGACTGTGGATCATGGCAGCCCAGCGCACACAAGTGAGTCAAATGGCACTTCAGTTGGCCTCCACTTGTGGAAGCCAATGTTGTATCCTGGGGCAATGATAGGCCAATGGAATCTGGCAAAAGGAGATCTCCCATTCAAACCAGAAGAAGAGATGTCTGAAGAGGTGGGTGACTCTCCGTTTAAAAGGCATCCATGTTCCATATGTGAATCACTGATTCCAGATACCTGGAAGAAGCAGGTCAGAGAGAACAGGTTGTCTTCATCTTTAGGAACTATACTGGAGGACAATACCAGCAATCTGGGGGGTGCTAGACAGTGGTGAAATCCATTTTTTTTTACTACCGGTTCTGTGCGTGTGGCTTGGTGGGCATGGTGTGGCTTGCTGGGCATGGCTTGCTGGGCATGGCAGGGGAAGGATACTGCAAAATCCCCATTCCCTCCCCACTCCAGGGGAAGGATACTGCAAAATCCCATTCCCTCCCCACTCCTGGGGAAGGATACTGCAAAATCCCCATTCCCTTCCCACTCCTGGGGGAAGGATATTGCAAAATTTCCGTTCCCACCTCACTCTGGGACCAGCCAGAGGTGGTATTTGCCGGTTCTCCGAACTGCTCAAAATACCGGTTCTCCAGAACCTGTCAGAACCTGCTGGCTTTCACCCCTGGTGTTAGATTAGGTGATCTTTAGGTCCACCAGGCGACGGGAACCTGTTTTTCTTTCGCTCCGCGCTGCGGCTCTCGCGGGACTGGCTTCCTCGACCAGCAACTCGGGGCGGCCGCTGCCTCCGCTTCTGCTCCTCCACCCTGACCGCACGGAGAGACCGGGCCGAGGGTCGCCCTGGCCTTCCGGACCAGTCCAGAGGAAAGCAGGGGCTCGGTTTGCAAGCCTTCTTGATGGGAGCTGAAAAGCCCCGGAACCACCCGCAATGGCGGGGAGCAGACAGCTGGGAGGGCAGACGTTGGCTCCATCGTCCGCCGCTTTTACGGAAAAACGGGGTGGTCGTTCGGCCCGCCCGGTCAAAACGGACTCAAAATCCGGCCACTTTCGTTGACTCGCTCATTCATCTGCCTGCCCCTCACTCCGCCGCGTGCTTCTGGCGAGGGACTCCAGGGAATCCTTAAGAGTCGGCAAAAGACCCCTCAGTTCCAAGCAGCAGCAGCAGCAGCAGCAACCAGGGTGCCTCGGGATCGTTACCACCTTTTGGGGCCTGAGGGCAATAATCTTCTCCCTTGAACCCCATTCCTAACCAGAGAGAGCCTCTGAATATGGAGGTTCTGCACGGCAATAACTATTAATGAATTTAGCCTCTACTACCATATACCTGAACTGTTTTAACTTTGCCTCCAAACTGTAAATTTGGGGGGGGGGCGGTTTCCTTTGTATTTTGCATCCTGATAAATTAATAAAAATTTGATTTAAAAAATAGATTCAAGCTGGCCAGAAATCTAGATTTTGGGGGGGGGGGGGGGTTATTGCTGGGAAAGATGGGGATAGACTTTTCCCTTTTCCTTTGAATGGTGGTGGGTTTTGTTTTTTTAAATTTCCTTCTTTGGATGTTTTTAATCTTCCACTTTCTACCCCCTTGGCCTTCCAAGACCCTAGACTGCTTTGTGACCCCAAAATGTGGCAGATCTTGAATGCTGCTAAATGTGTGGGAGCCTATGGAAGCTTGAGATCAGGCCCAGGCCATCCTGTGCCCATAACGAAGCCTTTGTGCGCAGGGAGTGGTGCTTCCAGTCTAGAAGGAAAGCAGGACTGGGCTTGCTTTCACCATACAAGAGACCACAAGCAAATGGGATAGAGTTTGGCAGACTGACATGCAGAACAGAACAGCCCTGACAGAGCAAACAAACAAACAAACAAACAGAACAGAACAGACTGACCTGAAAAACCAAGCCAGGCTGTGAAATCCCCAAGAGGATGGCCTTTGTGTTGTAGAGTTGTTGTGGAGATGGGAATTAAAGAAACATCCCATTTAGGGCAGACAGAATCAGTTTAATTATTTATTGCAATAAAGGATCAAACCTTGATATCACTATCAAGAAGAGGTTTGAACGCCATATGATTACCTACTCAGAACTTTTATACAGTTTCAAACAAAGGATTCTGTGGAGTCAGCAATTTTTTTTTTTTTTTAATTTGATTTATATGCCGCCCTTCTCCGGAGACTCAGGGCTGCTTACAATGCGCTAAGCAATAGCCTTCATCCTTTTGTATATTTATCCAAAGTCAGCTTATTGCCCCCACAAACTGGGTCCTCAATTTACCTACCTTAGAAAGGATGGAAGGCTGAGTCAACCTTGAGCAATTCATATGGTCCTATACATTTATCATTTTTAATTGACATTTCCTAATTACTGAGTTTGCAGAACAGTTATAATAATTCTTCTAAAAAGTTACTGAAGCATCTTTTTCAAATTATCTCTTGTTGAAACAACAATGTGGACATCTCTGTTACTTTAACCTTCAAGGTGTAAATCACGTAGACTGTTCTTATCTGTGACAACTGAGAGGCCTTGAAGTAAGCATCCTGGAACTGCCTGTGTTCTGAGTATAATTGCAAGCAATTTCTCTCTTACAGTATTAAGAACAAAGAGGGCCCTTCAGTGACTATTTAGCTGGACCCGTGTTTTTTTATTTATTTTATTTTATTTGTTACCTGTCCCACCATACTTGGGTGAGCAAAGCCAGGGAGCAGAAAGGGCTGCTGGAGATTGGGACCCTGGTTGATTCCTCTTGGGATTCAGTGCTTCTACTTGGCTGCTCTAGACAGCTGGCTATGATTGAACGGGCTGTGTTTGCACAACCGTCACTCAAAACCCAAGACATCAGCTATATTAATGAAATTGCTGAGCCGCAGGCAGGGAGAGTATGTTATATAGGCCCTCAGAATTTCACCCTGCAATTCTTCAACATCTGAAGAGGTTTCAGTTTTCCTAGATGAGAATTGCTTTGAAAGATGTTAATTCCCATTTACTTTATTTTAATGGGTGTGATAAATTAATGGATGTTCTGCTCTTTTGGCCTTCAAGGCTAGATGTAGACATGGATTGCATCCTACTGAAAGCAACTTGTATTCCCATCTCTGATAAGAGCAAAGGAGCCATCATGAAAGCCGTGAAATTATACTCTTGGTATAATTTAAACTGTGCAGTCTTTCTAACCTCTTCCAGCATCAAGATTTAATATCAGAGCTTCAGAAAAATAATATTCAGATGCTTTGAAAAGTTTCTGGTTAGGGTTCTTCACTCATCTCCATTGAGAAACTGGATGAGATATACTCACCCAAGGGCAACATTGTACCTGCAATCAGTTCATATTCCCATGAGCCCCACTCTTCGGGGTTTTTAAAAATAATTTTTATTAAGTATTTTACATTTTAAATCCAAACACAGAATAGCAAAATAAGTCAAGAGACAAAAAAAAAGCAACCACACTGGCAACTAACTGGGGATGAATCTAGGTGATTTCTAGAAAATGAGCAGATCTCTCAGCATGCCCCTTCAGGTAGATCTCTACATCCTCCTTCCCCACTTTAGAGAGGATCTCTGGCTGATTATCTGCAGATAAAATTAGTGTGGGGAAGTACTTATGCTTCTATGCCCAAATCAGCATGCTGATCCAGTTTTGTCCCTTGCCAAGGACAAATGAGAATAGGTTGCTTTAAGGGAAGCCTTGTGCCTGCTGAAGGGCTCAGGATCCTCTGGAGGGCATCGCAAATTTCAGGAATCTATCCTGCAAAACTGTGTTGCTCCATAACTTCTGAAACTGCTATAAGCATGTGGCTTCAGAATATCCACAGATCAAGCTGACCAAATGGAAGAATCCACACCTGAAGTAAGTATATCAAGTTACCATCATCAGATAAAACCTATCTACAGAATGGGTTTAGCTCTCCAGAAAAAGCAGGAAATGATTGCAAGTTTGCGCCTGGTCATAACTTCACTGGTTCTTTGTTGGGGGGTGTCATTCCCTCAGATGTCCTGTCTTTATTGGCCAACAGCACCCCCTTGTGGCCTATGGTTCCCTTTGTGGACAAGCCACTTCCTGCCATCACTAGAATTGTCTGGCTCTTCTGAGCCATTTTGCTGGGTAAATAAAGCTCCTTTAGAAGATCAGCTTCAACAATTTCAGGCCCCATTTTCCATTTACAAGAATACATAAGAAAAGAAAAGGCAGCAAGAAAAGAAATCCAGTTGTATCATTGACACGAGTATTTTATTTTATTTTTTTTAAAGTATGACCCTGTAACTCTGTTACATCAAAGCAGGCATCTCTTAAAGTACACTAAAAGTAGTGCAATATGTAAAGTGACTTTGGGCACACTGCTTTCATCTAAGCATTTTTCTCAGGAACCAGATGACTCCCAACTGGCCTAATCTGCTTCCAGTTCTAGTTAGATCGGGGGTGGGGGGGAGGATCCAAATGCTCTTTATAAAGCTCTTCTTCATTCCCAGCTTCTGAAGCAGGACAGCAGCTCACTCCCGCATCACCTCAAGTAGACCACGAGGATGCAAACATTTGTTTCTCCTCCTTAGACAAAGTGCTGATTTTTCTATTATTGTTAGGGCCAAGGACTGAATCCGATCAGGTAAGGAAGCATTGTGCCAAAGCCTTTCCAACTTCAACTTCATTATATGGATCCAATTCACATTTCCTGCAAAGCACAATTTTCCCACCCATGATGTTGGAAAGACCCCTGGTTTAAAAAAGGACTAGGCTATAATCATTCGGGATCTGGTGGGCAGCCGTAGGCCTCAACCCACCAGTATCTATGCTCATTGGATAGCTATTCCCAGTTAATTTCAGGTCCTCTTCAAGCTGGATCTAAGTATGAGAAAGGACGGCTGGCCCAGAAAAGATTCTGGACCTGGCCTTTCCTGACTGCCTGAGATATGTGAAGATAATCCCTAAACACCTACTCCGCCCAGGATGGGCTGTATTTTTTGGCACTCAGCGTTGCCTCAGAAGAAATTTCAGTTATCTTCAAAAACAAAGAGAATACACAGCAGGAAGTCTCAGTTGTTCAGAATTTATAGAATAAAAAGATCCAGGCAGCAAAAACTGAGCTGAAAGGGATTTAGGCACATTTTTCCTCTCTGCAATTTTGAACTATGCAAACCTCACTTAAAGAGATGATTCCATGTCCTGGCTGGTACACAATACCCACCCTACACTCACATGAAATGCATGTACACGCTTTCCTTCCTTCTGCCTGTGAAATAATATAGACAATAGAATTCCATTGGAAATTACCTCCAGAATAGGAAGACTTGGGACTATTTTGTTGTCACCAGAATAGAGGTCAAAAGTAGGAGCAGGACAGCCTGGTATACTTTCAATTTCATGACTGTTTTTCAGAAGGAACATCTAATATCCTGCATTGCCCCATCTTGAAGGGGGCTAGGAAAAGGAATGACGGGAGGGAGTTAAGAAAAAAGGGAGACTCCATTATCTGTGAACTAGTGAAAGAAGAAAAGCCTTGGGAGAGAGGTAAGGTCACTGTAAGGGGGGAGAGCTGTATAAAGAACAGCAGTCTGGAAATGAATCTCATGGTCAGATAATCTGATGAGAATTCAATCTGGGGGGAATAAGTAACACGCAAACAAAGTAAATAAAGTAAATGAGCAGGAAATGGTAGGAAGCAAGACTTCAAGGCTTAGTTTTTTCCTCTTCCCCCAGTGGGCTGATAAAACCCTCAGGGAAAAGCTCCTCCTGCTTGTCTTCCTTCAGTTTGGTTTCCAGAGAAGTAAGGCGCTGCTTGAGCTTCATCTGAGTGGCATCATATTCAGCCAAGAGACGAGAGAAGCGAGCGTTCAGTGTCTCTAGGCTGGTTTCCAACCTGTCCAACTTCTGGCCCACGTCCATCGCTTCCATGCTTTCTGCCGCTGCCGCTTCATCCAGCAACCCCTCTTTGGTGAGGATCTCTCGGCCACGTTCTTCCAGGACCCTCTTGGCATCTGGGTACTCAGTCACAGCCTCCATGAGGTCATCTTTGGACAGGCAGAAGAGGTCAGAGTAGCCAATGCTCCTAATATTCGCCGTTCGCCTATTCCCCATTTTGCTTCCTTTAATGTTGAGAATGCTGATTTCTCCAAAACAGCAGCCTGCCGTCAGTATGGCGTATTGAGTAATACCATCATCTGCCACCACAGCCAACTTTCCTTCCTTAATGATATACATTTCTTTACCAATATCTCCTTTCCGGCAAATATAATCACCTGGGCTGAAAACCTGAGGGCGAAGCTTGAGCACCAGTTCCACCAAGAGCCCAGCCTCACAGTCCTGGAATATCCGCACTTTCTTCAAAGTTTCCAGGTGGACATTGATAGCTATTTCAGCCCTCAGTTTGTCAGGAAGATTTTTGAGCACTTCCCACTCATCCACAGTTTTCTTGTTGGTCCAAAGATAGTCAAACCACCTGATAACCTTAGCTTCCATTTCTTTGCTTACTTTGCGGAAGTGCATGTAGTGCTTGACGGCATCAATCTTGGCCTGGAATTCTGCCCTGGTGGCATTCATGTTGGAGATCATGGACCCCACGTTTCCCACAATAGTAGCGAAGATGAGAACTCCAATTAGGAAGTCAAAGATGACAAAAAGGTATTCCTCATCCCGCACAGGGGGAGGGGTCTCACCAATGGTAGTCAAGGTCAGCGTGGACCAGTAGAGACAATAGACATACTCCCTGGTCAGATATCCATATTCTGGATCTGAGATATTTGGATAAACCCAAGTATCTTCTCCGAAGCCAATGGCCTTGGAGATGGCATAGTAAATGCAGGCATTCCAATGGATGATGACCAAAATGTACATCACCAAATTGCAGATCCTAAAGATGTTTGGGTAACTGGTTCTTGTTTCAGTCCGATCAAAGAATTCAAACATGCGAGGGAAATGCAGCAGCCGATTGAAGCGTAACTCGGGCCGATGGATGCCAACCGCAAAATATGCCAAGTCAGTAGGCAGAATGGATAAGATATCCAACTTGAACTGCAAAGTGGCAAAGTATTTAGCACGCAGTTTCTTGAAGTCTTTAACGAGTAATCCCTGTTCAAGGAAACCTACCGAGAAAAACACAAAGAGCAGTTCAAATATAGTTACATATATCATTCTTTGCTACTGTTCCTTATACCCAGGGTCCATAATCTGCCTGTGATCAGTGAAAGAGCTACTCTGGATCGCACAACAACATAAAGGACAACATTTAATTCCGCCGGGAATTAAAAACTTGGCTTTACAAATCCCTTGACCTGGTCTGATGATGGGGTTTTAAGGGTTTTAAGGGTTTTAATGGGTTAATTTTAAATTTTTAGATTTTAGTCTTTATTTTTTATTGTGGCTTGTGTTTTATTGTTGTGAGCCGCCCTGAGTCCATTGTGAGATAGGGCAGCATATAAGCCGAATAAAATAAAATAAAATAAAATAAATTTTCCATTCTCACAGTGACGAAGGTTGGCGGGACAAAATATTGAAAGCTACAAGTGCCCCAGTTTGAACATTTATAATTCAGCTGGTTATCAGAGCAGTGTCATTTCTATGATGGCCACTACTGCCCAGTTTGGTCATTGTTAGCAATAAAGCTTGATAAATCTTTCACTGTTCCCCCCCCCCTCCAAGAACTTCAGGCAAGGAGATTGACTTTTTCATGGTCATTTTCTGCCTGTTGGAGAGACATGCATCTTTCCCTCAGCTACAGAATGAGCACAAACCGTTCCCAATCCAGATCCCATCTCTTTTCCTTCACCTGTGTTCATCCGGATGACAATGTCCATGATGTAAATGCCATCTGCCAGGTAATCCAGGAGCAGCCAACAGAGCAAGTACCTTCTCTGGAGATCATTGAAACAGGCTCTGCAAAGAGATCAGAGCTAAGGTGCTGCTTAGGAAGCCCTTGAAGAGCCTGTGACAAACAGGGCATAGAGACATGGGGCCACCAGGCATGGCTGTCCAAAGAAAAAGCAGGCAAATGATCGCCATAGGGTGGACATTCTTCAAGGTGTATTTTGTGCACCTTCGTTAAAAGCTGAAAATAAGAACCAGTTAGTCTAATGGTGAAGGTACTAGGCTAGAAACCAGGGAACTGTGAGTTCTAGTCCCTCCTTAGCTGTGAAAGCCAGATGGGTGGTTTGGGCCAGTCTTCTCAGCCCACAACAGTGGTGGGTTTCAAAAATTTTTACTAATGGTTCTGTGGGCGTGGCTTGGTGGGCATGGCAGGGGAAGGATACTGTAAAATCTCCATTCTCATCCTACTCCAGGGGAAGGATACTGCAAAATCCCCATTTCCTCCCGATCAGCTGAGACTCGGGAGGCAGAGAATAGATGGGGGCAGGGCCAGTCAGAATTTTTACTACCGGTTCTGCGAACTACTCAAAATTTCCACTACCAGTTCTCCAGAACTGGTCAGAACCTGCTGAAACCCACCTCTGGCCCACAACATCAGGCTCAGGCAACAGGCCAGCCAGTCAGTTTCTGTCATGATCAAATGGATCAACATTCAGTTGATCTGGGGAAAAAATGGGCCCTGCACTTGCAGAAAACTGCTAGGAAGGGGAGGGGGAGTTAAAGGCTGAAAATCAGTTTGATAAGGGTGGACCTATAGTGGTAGGAGCGAACATTTTGGATGTTCTGTGCAAGGAACTGGCTAGTACTCCATTGCCTTGAACCAAAAGGGCTTCCTTGATTTGGGGGTGGGGGGGTTCCCCAGGAAAGGAAAGACAGCCAGCAAAATTTCCAGGGACAGTTGTTGGGCCTCCATGCATCAGAAGATGACAGCTGTCCACCAGCAAAACATTCCTTCTGATAACTGAGATGTCCGAAAGAACCTCTGCCCCTACATGCTCTTCCTCTGCAGCCAGTGGAAGAGAGATACCATGGCAGGTATGGAAGGAGGCAGCCTGAGTGTGCGATGTCTGCAGTGGCGGATGATCACATGTGGGGCAGAATAAGGGTTGTGAAAGGGTTTACTTGGGAATCTTTTCTTCCACTCTGCAGTTGCCGGAGCCTGCTTGATTGCTCAATTGGTAGGCCCTGGGGAGGGCAGCCAGGTCACCCCAGCATGTGAGACACACAGGAGGCAAGGCCCAAAACCACACTCCCCACTCACCTGGCAACCAGCATGCACCAATTGTACAGAACTGGTACTGCAATAACCAGGAGCCAGCGGTAGTACCACTTCCCAGCAGGGTCCATCACAAGGACTTTCCATTTCTTCCTGGAAACACAGTCAAAACCTTCTTTTAAAGGAGCCGAGCTGCACTGGGAGGGCAGGGCTGATGAGAGGAAGGATCCGGCTCCAGTTCAGATTGGGGCCCCAGGGTCTGGAGGCTGAGATATGTGTGTGTGTGAGAGAGAGGGTGTGTGTGTGACTTGAGGAAGCCAAAGCACAGCCACTGCCATACTTCTGTCCAGCATCCACTGCCTTGGCTTCAGTAAAGCACATCCTTGGTTAGCCCAGGGGAAGAAAGAGAGCGCGCCAGTCTCTGGCTGAATGGTCTACTTCCTGAACAGATAATGAGAGGACTCTGGAGCTGATTATGACTCACCGCCCTTCAATCTGTCTTGGGTGCATCTAGTTTAATGAAAAGAAGGACCAGGGGAGACATGACAGCAATGTTCCAATATCTAAGGGGCTGCCCCAAAGAAGAGGGGGGTCAACCTATTCTCCAAAGCACCTGAAGGCAGAACAAGAAGCAATGGATGGAAAACAATCAAGGAGAGAAGCAACCTGGAATTAAGAAGAAACTTCCTAACAGGAAAAACAATTAATCATTGGAACAACTTGTCTCCAGAAGTTGTGGGGGTTCTAACACTGGAGATTTACTAGAAGAGACTGGATAGCCCCTTGTCTGAAATGGTGGAGGCTTTCCTACTTGAGCAGAGGGTTAGAGTAGAAGACCTCCAAGGTGCCTTCCAATTCTGTTACTCTGCTTCTGTGGCATTTCAAGGCCTCCCTGGCTGCCCAGGAAAAGGACCCCTTTTGAGAATGCCATCCAGATGCCCTAGCAGCTGGGGCCTGCTGGGCAGTGTGTAGGGATAGAAGTTGGTAGATGGCAGCTGTTCTGTGAGAGGAGGCTCCATTGAGGGACTGAGCAGCAACTGGAGACACTAGCTGCTAGGACATCCCAAGAGATGTTCTGCCATTTTGCCAAATGATTAGCTCAAATTTTCTGCTATTCCTCCTGAGAAGTTCCAGGCAACATTCCTCAAATGCATTCAGTGCAATATCACCATTCCCTTACCAGGAGGACAAAGGGTGCCCAAAAAGCCACCTCCACAGTAGTAGACGGGCTGCATTCTCTCCTTCTCTCCCAAGTTCCTCTCATTATTCTTAGCTGCTTACCTCCCCACCAAAGAATGCCCAGCGGCTGTTTTCTGGCATTAACAATCAAGGTCCTCCATCCAAGGCCAAGGCAGCCCTCATTTGTCTCTTTCTTGAGACACTCCTTAGAAAGAAAGCCCCTCCTTCCCCTCTGCAAGCCCAGAAGAGAGAGGTCCCCCCTCTCACCAGGGAGTCAGGCAGACTCACTTCTTCCGCCCCTGGCCTGCAAGGCCATCTCCACCTGCCGTTGCCGACTCTGATGCTAAAGCCTTCACATCAGGTCCACGGAAGCGCTCAAGGAAGGAGTCCGGTCTCTCCTCTTCTTTTCTACCTTTCTTTGCCCATCCTCGGACAGCCATCACCAGCCGAGCTATCCTAGGGAAGAAGGTTGGTGGGCTGGTTAGTTGGTTGGTTGGTTTGGAGTTGAAAATGTGGCACAGAAAGCTTCAGGGAAACAAACTGGCCATTGTGGTTTTTTTTTTCTCCTGCCTGGTTAGGACTGGAAAAGGAAAGCAGTAATGTCCAAAGAGAATACATCTTGACCTTTTGTCATCCCCAAAACGTTGTTACTCCTCCTGCTGAAACATCAGCACATCCTCATATGTTGAACCCAGGAACCATGATTGCATCAGTCTTATTACGCAAACTACAGAATTACTCTTAAAGCGATTGCAGCCCAAAGTTTCCAGCAAAGGATCCACTGATCCCTCCCCCTATTTATTGCCTAGGAAGGGGTGCAGCAGGAATCCCCAATGATTCCGGCAAAAGACTGCTGCATTTCAGGACAAGGAATAAATCCCTGCTGTTATCCAACTCCACTAAAAATGGCCTGCACCTGTTGCTTCAGAAACCTCTGCTCACCTTGCCTTTCCCACCTGGACGATCCTAGCTTGCCAAAGCCATGGGAAGCCTACCTGGAGAGAGCCCCTTTTTTGGGGTGGTCTGCATCCTCCAAGGCAGCCACTCGTTGCAGTTCCGAGGAGACATCGTCATCAACTGAGGGAAGCCTGTAGAGAGACCAAACAGCAAGTGGTCCTCCTTGGCTTATGAAGCTCAGCAGGAGCCCACCATCACCCACCATGCTCAGCAAGACCACTCCTCTTTTCCATGAAAACAAGGCCTTGGTAACTTTCCAAACCCTGAGCTGCTCTCTCAGAGGCACCAAGAACTTCTGCCTTCCCCAGACCCATCGCTCTGGGCACAGCAGAGAAACGAAGCCAAGCTGCCTCTCCATTCCCTACACAGACTGGGAATCCATAGGTTTGTGCCTTGCCAACCAAGTTTCTGGGGCCCAGTGATCTGGAAAGAAGCTCTTTATTGGCCAAAGCAGGTCCTGCTTCTATCAGCCTAGCTTTGATGAGGCAAGAAAAGACTCCAAATCAAGGGGAGGAGAGACCAGGCGCTTTCTGATGAAATGCCATCTCATGGGTCACATGAGGAAGGAAGTTTCTTTGGCATCAGGGCAGCCTCTCCAACCTCTCTAGATGGGGCCGGCAGGTAGAAGACCGCCAGTTAGTGAATTCCACCTGAATAACATAAGCAGCATCGAAGCCTTGAACTGCACATTTTATACATGACTGTAACAGAAAACATGTGCACAAAAGGAGCCAGGTTTGCAGCACACCACAGACCTGCAGCACCACACTCTTGTTCCATGTCCCCTCACACACATACCAAAATGGACACTATGCATTCAAATATACAGAATGCTATTGTCCTAACCAGATAACCAGATGCCCGTCTGGCAAATGGAGGATCTTGCAGTCTTTCCAAAGCCCCAAGTTACCTGCTATCATGGTTGCTGAGCTTGGTCTGCTCCAGGTTACCTTTGGTTTTTACAGAGACCATTCTCTGGTGGTTGGCACCATTGTTCTTTGCCATCATCCTCCATGTGCAGAAGCCACCAACTTTATTCTGCTCCGGAAAAGAGGGAAAATAAAGAAGCCTGTCATGTGATAGATGTTTGTTTCTGGGCTGGGTGCTTCACTATGGCTTTATCCAAAGATGACTTTGTTGTACGTGAGAGGGGGCATGTGGTTGGAGGAACTGGTACCTTTTTTTCTGAGATCCACTGAAATATGGCATCTTTGCTTGGCAGAGGACTGGCTTATAAGCTTAGGCAACTCCATCTTGCCAAGGCTGTTGTCCAACTTTCCTTGAGCAAAGTCACTGCTTTGGGGCTTTCAAAAATGTATTTTCTCATGTTGGATGGAGCATCATTTGAAACATCTCAGTGAGGTTGCCCTTTCCTCCTGTCCATTTGACCACCTTTCCCAGGCATCTCCATTGAACTCCTGTCCCCATACATCCCAGGTGTCTCAAGGGAACAATCAGCCTACTTTTTCTTCCTGGCATGACTCACTTTCAGTTTATGCCCAGGACCAGGGGGAGGAATCAGATCTGGTCCTAGGAAAACACCCAACAGCCCTGTGGCCAATAGCTGGGATCTAGCTTAATAAGTGACACCCCATAAAATCAGTGAGAGCGGAGTTTCTGGAAGCGAGCGGCGTGACTGGTTGGGAAAATACCAAGCTCCAATGAGCCTGGCGAAACCCAGCCAGACGAACCATCGCCAGGGGGTCTTCGGATCAGATCTGTCCTGTAGGGACAGTGAAGAAGAAGAGGCAGCTCGGTAGCTACAGAGGAACAGGCAAGTTCCTTGGAAAGCCCGAGAAAACTCTTCGATCTGGCAATGGGGGGGCGGCGATCAGTACGAATCGCCATGAAGCTGGAGCATCCAGAATAATCGTTGTGCAGGAGTGAAGATTTGGACAGAGTACTCATATCAGGTGAGTGATTGGTCAACTCACAGGTAATAAAAGAAAAATTGGAAAATTTTAGAATTACCCCGGAATGGAAATAGTGGCTAAATAGCAACCGGGGGGGGGGGGGGGACAACTGATAGAGAAAAATTAGGGAAGTGACAAGCGCTCTATAGGAGAGCCCAACTAAAGATTTAAAATTGAATATGAATGAAAATGTTAAGTTGGAATTTGGACTTTTCAGATTTGGATTGGATTATAAACAGATTGATTGGATATAAAAGTTAAAGAAGAAGTGGGAAAACTTTCCTTCTCTCCTTTTTGAATTACAAACAAAATGGATATTTTTTAACCGGCTGAGTGGAATTGTGGATTGTAGAGAGACATCTCCAGGAGAAATGAGAGTATGACATTAAACTTTCTGTTTTGAGGGAAAACTTTGAAGCAGTGAGAAAAAAAAATAAAACCTTGAACTTTTAAAATGATAAGCTATGAGAACTAAGGAGGATTTGTGTGTCTACAAGCAGTTAGACCGATGATTAAAAAGGAGGATTATAATGTGGATTTAAATTGGAACAATATCAACCCAGAAAGAATAAAATGGCACAGGAACTTAAGGAAATGATGAAGATTATATGCTTGGAAATAAAGGAAATAATTACAATCTTGCATGGAAAATTGAAACTTGATGAATCTAAGACTGAGCTAGAATACATGGAAGCTGAAAAGGAAATAACCAATGAAAAACAGGAAAGAGAGATCGACAACAAAGAGGAAGACAAAGACAAAGAGACTGACTATGGAAAATTAAACAATTAAATAGGTTGTAATAATAAAAGGGGGAACCTTAAAGATTACAGTGGGACTAATAATGGGGAATATAGAAAAAAGGGAAAGAAACAAGGAAGGAAAAAAGGGTCGAATAGAAAAAATATAAAAAGATTAAATGATTACACTGGGATTTACAGTGGAAGTACAAGAAAGAGGGAAAAGAGATGGGAAATAATGGGAAATAAAGGGCAAAACAAAAGATTTTATGATTTTAAAATACAAAACAAGTATAGTGGTATTAACAATGGAAATATAAGAAAAAGGAAGGAGAGAGGAGAAATAATGGAAAATATAGGGCAGAATAGGAGAGCTCAGAATCTTAAAACACAAAAGAAAGGAAGGAAAAAGAAAAAGAAATAGAAGAGGAGAAAGGGAGAAAGAAATGAAAGGGAATAAATTTAGAATTGTAAGATTTAACAGATAAGATGAATGTTAGAAAAAAGATAAAATAGTGATACCAATTAAGTGATTTAAAATGATGGGAAATTATAGAGATGTATGAAGTAAATGAAATAAGATTTATGTTTGATGTTTTATTTTTTAAATATGCTCTATTGAAAATTTGAGAAATTGAAAGAATTGTCATATTTTTAAGTGCAGTGTTGGAGGTTTATAAAATGATAAGTTGTAATAATATGAATAAATTTAATTGAGGGAATTGTAATAAATTGGAATATTTTAAACTATATATTTGAAATGTAATCAAAAAAGGGAAAGAAGGTGAATTAAGATTAAAATAAGAACTAATTAGATTAGGGCAATTAGAAATGATTAAGATGTGAATTATAAATATATATTGTTAACAATTAAAAAGATAAGAAGAATTTTGAGAAAGATATTTAATAAATGAAAGAAAGGTCAGGGTTGCTTGGACACCATAGTGAAAATATTAAATTGAAAATCTATACAGCAATAGAGAAAGATGGAAGAAGAAGTAGAGAGAAGGGAGAGAAGGGAAGGAGAGAGAGGGATAGAAGAGAGTGGAGGAAGGGAGGGAGGGGAAATCAGAGTAGGAGAGAGGGTTAGTCAGGGAGGAAGAAAGGAGGAGAAGGAGAAAGGAAGGGGAAGTAGTAAGGAGCAGGAGAAGAGGAAAAGAAAGTAAGAAGGAAGGAAGAGAGGGAGAGGGAAGAGACTGAGAAGAAAGATTGTTGTATAACAAAAAAGAGGAAATGGAAGAAAGGCAACCATACATATGAATATATGAAGATAAAGAAGAAATTGTTAAAAAAATAAGAGAGAATAAATGTGAACAAACAGGAAAATTAGAATTTAAGAGAGAATGAAGATGTTGTTTATATAAATAAATATAGAAATATTGAGCTATGAATTAAAGATAAAAATAGGGAAAAAAGGAAGATTTTGGCAAAAATTTTAATTGAGTAAAATTTATTTGAACTCAAAAAATTGTATAAGATAAGAAATGGCCAATACTCTGTTCAAAAAAAAAGATGTGGGTGAATGTGGTGGGAAAAAAATCAATAAAACTTGATTAAAAAAAAATCAGTGATTGCTTTGGCTATGAAAGATAGAGGAGAATAATTGCGGACTGGGTGCTAATCATGTGGCACCTACCATAATGCACAGCTGAACTTCCTTGTTCCCTCCATTAATCTGCCCAAGCCCTTACAAACAGCCTGTAGTGACAAATCTCTGCCGATACAATTAATTGCAGGAGTAACAAAAACATCATCTAAATGGTTACATCTTAATAAACAAATTGGATTATTGCAATTGGCAAAGCAAAAAGCCCCATATTCACATTCAAAAATTTGTCTGAATTTGATACTAGTGATTGAGGTAGTGAGAGAATTTCCTCCCATCCTCCTTTCCTTCCCTGCTTCTGCAGCCCCCCCCCCCCCCGCCCAGTCTCCGTTTGCTCTAATTCCCCACATGGTTTCTCCATGTTATTATTCAAGGCTTCTCCCAAAGGCTTTCATCTTTGCCATCAGAACCATGGCAACCTCATCAGCGTCAAGATCCTGCCTAACAACAGGTGTGAGATGCTTTCATGGCCTCTCCTCAGCAGGCTCAACGGGGCAACTTGGGAGGAACCAGCCTGGGAGGAGCATCACCTAACTCTGCCGGAGGAAGAGCAGTGGGCAGCCCGGCTCATTTAGCCAGAAGGGACAACAGAGTTTCCAACTGACCACAACCAACCAGTTGCAAGAAGCAGCTGCCACAATCTATTATGTCGACATTTTGGTATCTGTTTTATCCCTCACTAACTTGGGTTGTTTGTTTTGTAATTGGTTTCAGCAAATTTAGCAGTAGTCATAATAAAAACTAAAGTAATGGCAGCACTTGTATCTAACTCAATGGGAGAACCCAGAGTGGGAGAGAAAAGAACCATCAATAAAATAATCATGAATCAAAGGAATAATATTCAAGGACTCGAAGTGTCCTTACACTGCAGAGCTGAGTTGGGGAGACCCACCCACCGACTATGAGCAGAAGCCACATCCCTGACTGAGCTATGTCACCTGGAAAGGGGGAAATGGCAAAGTCCCCGAAGGAATGCAGACTATCTGTATCCACTGTATCACCTCACCTGATTCAAGATGGGCTTCCAAGCCCTTCTTTACAGCTTTTCAAAACCTCCGCACCCAAAACTCCCACTGCTTTCCTGTCTTTGGACAGGTAGCTCAGAAGAAGTGCCAAGCATGATCGTCAATTCAGAAGTTAACTACCTGGGCTTCTTCTCTCTCTCTTTTTGTTTTTAGTATCTAATTACTCTGGCTGACCATCTGCAAGAACAGACAGATACTTCTTCCTTTATGTCCTCTGAGTTCAGACTCCTGGGGGGTCAAAGAAGGGGCACAGGCCAGGCAGCCCCCAGGCTCAACAGCAAGCAAGCAAACTGGGTAAAAGGGAGAAGCCAGCTCAGCTGTGCCGATTCTGCTGTGCCAGAGAAAGAGCCACCTGGCTGTGGGTGACAGACAGTTGCTGTCATTCCGGAGCAGTTACAAAAGTCAGTTGAAGAAAAAGAAAGAGACAGTTGGAACAGTAGAAGAGAAGTGGGATCTCAGGGCTTATACCCAGTGCAATGTAGTTGTATTATTGACCTTCGTTCTTTTTATTGACCAGCGCTTATTTCTAAATTCTCTGACATCTGTTATCTCTGCCACACTTGAGACTCTGGGCAACTGAAACAGCCTGCCCTCTTGAGTGCCATCCTGCAGATTTGCACACATGTCAATGTTTGTTCCTGTTTAACGGCAAAGCATTTCCAAAGTGCCCTTAATTTAGCCTTCCGGTGATTGCAAGGGTGAAATAATGGTTTTCTTTG